CCGAAAAAGTCAGTTCTTTGATATTTTTAGTTTTTTGCGCTTAACGGTATGCGAATTCATCAAATGCGCCTGGTGTGTTTGAAAGACAAAAGACTGGCCTCTCGAATGACGCCAACAAGAATAGCTTATGTTGTCTACCTTGCGTGCTACGGGCGTCAGAAAAAAAGTATTCGGCGTTCCCCCAACTTCCCCTATATAAGGGAGGTTTCATTTATTTTTCCTCCAGAAACAATGACATAGTGGACAATAATTAATCACGACGTTATCTATCACATATAAAACAAAGCAGTACTTTATTTTCAGGGGACAGGCGAGCAGAGGCGGATCCAGGAAAACTCCAAGGGGAGGCTCATTAATCGAAGTATGTATCCAAAATTAAGAACACAATTATTTCGGCCACATAATTTTAGTGGTGCCACATTTTCAGTTTTTGTTTTGTTTTTTTTTATATTATTTTACTTTTGGTCAGTGTCTTAAGCGGTGGTGACCCTGGCAGGCCTGTGGTGCCCCTTACAGGCCTGTGGTGCCCCTGCAAGGACTGTGGTGCCCCTGGGCCCTGACAAGCCTGAGGTGCCCCTGGCGGGCCTGCGGTGCCCCTGCTACGCCATTGGTGCTCCTGGGCCCTGACAGGACTGCAGTGTCCCCGACAAACCTGAAGTGACCCCGACAGGCCCGTAGTGCCCCTGAGAGGCCCAAGGTGCCGCTGGCAGGCCTCTGGTGCCCCTGGCAGGTCTGTGGTGCCCCTGATAGACCTGTGATGCTCTTGCTGGGCCGATGGTGCTTCTGACAGGCCTTTGGTGCCCATGACAGGCCCGTGGTGCCCTTGCTAAGCCTGTGGTGCCCCTGGCAGGCCTGTGGTGCCTTCGGGCCCCAGGGGGAAGTCATGACCCATGTGACCCCCCTCTCTCGGATCCGCCACTGCAGGCGAGAGAGAATGGATGGGTCATACATGGCTTCCACAGAACGTGACGCTGCCGCCCCGGGGCCAGAGGAAGAAGCATAGCCTCCCGTGTCGCTCTATAGATGACGCTCCACACAGTGACCAGAATCACAAGATGATAGTATGCGATAAACGTGAGCTTGAAGCGATATGGAGATTTATTTCCTGCGTGTGATGATATGATACGGGAAGGGAGATTTCGGGAAAGCAGGATCCGTAAAGAAAATTGTTATTATTATTTTTAATAAATTTAGTCCCAACCTTTTGAATGGAAGGATTCACAAAGGGAGCCCCGCCAAGCGAAGCTTGTTGCGTTGACCCTGCCCGCTAGCCTCCGATCGTGCAATTCCGGTTCTATGGCAGAATTTGGAGTCCAAGGTTTAACGTGCGCACATAGCCGCGCACGGCCATTATCAGTATTCTATCAACTATCAAGCGTAGGTATGTGATTCCTCGCTCGATGAAAACGGGTGTCTTTTTTACTTTCCTTAAGGTGCCTAATTTTTATGTGCAATAGTGTGGTCCCCATGATCGACGTATCGAGGGTCAACTTTTTATGTAGCACTCTATTTCGCGCTCCAGATATTCCGCTTTGTAGGCTCTAATATAACGCCGTCTCCATAGGTCTTGCCGATCGAATGGTAGGGCCAGGATTTATGAAACTGACCTCACGCTAAGAGCGAGTCCTTATCTCCGTAATTTAACCCGGCAGTTGCTGGGGTATTTCGCCACCCACCGTTTGCTGGGGGGGGGGGCGTTAAACGCCCCCAGCCGATAACTCGAGAACCAATAGGCGCAGCGAAACGCACGAGGCGGCAAACGAAAGAGCGCGACGAGACGCTTCAGATGAGTACTTTAAAGTTGAGTTTTGAGGTCACAGGTCGGGTCAAGGTCAGGTCAAACAACTGAAATCGGCCTTTCAGTAGCATGGACTTCAGGACTTCGCAATGGGCGCCTCTCGTCATAAACTCTGTCAAAATGGTGCACAATCCATCGTATAAGGCCTACAAGAGTGTCAGCTCCATGTAGGGGTCAGTCAAGCATAGGTCAGGGTCAAGGTCAGGTCAACCGGGTAGGCACATATCCCCGAAAATCAAAACTGATATTCGCAGCCCGTGACACATGTTTTATGGGTAATTTGGGGCGTAGAACACGATTGTGACATTCATTCTATCATATGTGTACGTGTTTGGCTAAAAAAGTTTAATTTAAGAAATGCATATAGGTATCATAGTCGTGAAGTAGTCACGAGAAATTGTCAAGATTCAGTTCAAGATTTTGGAAAATGCGGAACGATAATCAATAATCGAAGATAGCCATTTGATTGTTCATGGTATTGGCAGTCTAATGGCGTTTACGGCATGTCTGTATGTCTATTCTGTGATTTTATATGATTTTTTGAACATACGCCGTTTTTGGTCGAAAATTCAAAAATCATGACGTCACTAAAACCTCGATATCTCAAAAATTTTCCGACCGATTTTTTTGAAACTTTGTCACAATAAACTTCAATCAATTCCCTACAGGTACCCAAAATTTGGCGCGCCTGCGGCGCGCCGTTTTTATGCTATGGCCCAGCGAAAGAAGTGAGGGCGTTTAACCCCCCTCCCAGCAACTCGCGGGTTAACAATAAAAATGGCTAAAATGATAGCAAAAAAAATATTAGGGATAAAATTAAAATGTAGTTTGCTGTGAGCCAGCGAAGTCAGTGGGAAGGGGCGACTTTCTAAATGTTTTTAGCACTATTTTGACGGATGAGTTTAAATTCAAGCAATCAACATGCCACCCCGTGCATCACACACCAGCCGCTCCCATGTACCCATGGTCACCTCAGACTCAGACGCCAGAGCCGCAGGATGACTGGCGCTTCTGATCAGGCGCCGGATGGCTACGTCAGGTGGCTGCGCTCCCACTGCAGCGCGCAGGCTGCGAGGGAGGGGCAGATAGCAGCGCCAAGGTGAACACATGCCCAGCCAGATTTCGTCCCATGCGAGAAAACAGCTGCGCGGTCTTTTTTTTGCTTGTTCATATCTCTGGCGCAAGTTTCGGTGTGCGGAAAATTACGCAGGCATAACACTACAACCATAAGCTAGGGGAAAGTGGGGTAAGACGATCAGGGTAGGTAAGACGGGCACCCCTTCTCCAGACCAAACCAATAGCGCTACGAGCGAGAAAAATTAGGACCAGAATTGCCTTTCCCACTACACACCACCATTGAAGTCTGGTGAATTTGTGTTCAGTCGATAATCTTTTATTTTAATTTCTTGCACGGTTTTGCAAAAATAGCTGCAGTTTATTTGTTGAATCAGGTCTAAGTCTCATCTTCTGGCAAATGGAAGTAAAATGCCTAAAAACGGTTTTCACTCAGTTTCCCGTTTCTATGATGTTTCTACCCGGCCGAAAAATGGCTCCAAAGTTAAGGTGCCCGTCTTACCCCACTTTCCCCTACTTAGTTAGGTACATAGCATCACACAATTATGCTACTTACACCACCAAAGTGCTGCCTTTGATTAACATTTGAATAACAAAACATGATGGGTAGCAGAGAAATGATCATACAAATTAAGTCGTAGTTTTTTGTGCATCAAGTGTGTGGATGATGACCACTTGCTTTGGTGGGCTAATACATAATCCCCAGGTATTTATATTTACAGTTACTTTCGAATCAAAGCAGCAAAGTAAAGAGGGTGTGATGGTGTGGAAGAACTATCAATTGAAATAAAGCATCGTAAACTTACCGAACATAGCGACATTTAATACATAGGTACAATAGATCATTGCTTTGTTAACCCTAGAACGCCTAGGGGGGGTTGTATCAACCCCCCCCCTGAGGTTTTTTCGAAGTGCACGCTAAACGGCTTGTCGTAGCGGGCTGAAATTTTCAATACCCTTTGGGGCAACCTTTGCGCATCTTTTGCCGAAAAAAATTGATCGGGTCATGTCAGGTCACGGAGTTATGACGTCATAAGAGGTACAGCCTCCGGCCGGATTTTCACAAACTGAGTGCCAACGCCCGAGGTTTCCTGCCGGTGGTACGGACATCGGTTGATGGATCGTGATGAAACTTCCCATGCATGTTGGGGCAAGTATTGGCTATCATATGGTATAAGAAATTTGACCGGGTCAGGTCAGGTCACGGAGCTATGACGTCACAAGAGGAACAGCGTCCGGTACTATTTTTGAAAAGCGCCCGAACCACTATTTTGCTAATTCTTGTCACCTCAGTGGGAATATGCAGCAATATTAGCTTCTATAGGGAGCAAATGGACCTCCCAAATCCAAAAATACAATCAGATTTCAAAAATTTAAATTTTGATTTTTCGAATTTCTGCCGCCGACTGTGACCTTGCCGACTTCCGGCGCTCCCAACGCGCCATTTTTAGAGCTAGGGAAACGAAATACATACCAAACGATAGAGAATTGATCAAGGAACACGATAGTGAAGGTTTCAAGTCGATATCTCCCACCGTTTTGCCGCAATCGCCGCCGAAAGTTGAAAAAAGTCTATTTTTCCGAAAATTTGACCTTTGACCGGTCAAAAGTAGGTCAAATGTTGACCTAGGACCAAAAAATATACCACCAATCGCGAGATCTCGTTGAGAGCAATCCGTTGGTTTTTTCCGCTAAGCTCTACGACCTTCAGTTTCGAAACGCCAGGGGGGGGTCGTAACAACCCCCCCCCCCCTGGTCGTTCGTGTTATGAGAAATAGCCTGGTCGTGCGAGGGTTAAACTGTTTACATTATTATTATATATACCTACATATTATATTAGTCTGATTACATTACACAGCAGTTCGCGGAAACTTTGGGGTCTGCACTGAGTAAGACAAGCATGGCAGGCCTCCAAACTATTTGTATAAGCCATCACCTATTAATATAGTTAACCTCTGCCCAGCCCTGCCCAGCCTGTCCGAAGAAATTAGTGCATCTACATACATACACCTGTATGTATAGATAAACGTATTACATACAGAATCAAACAGCAGATCTTTATCGGAATGTCATGTGGGGCGCATGCGCGGGCTGGCGAACTCGGCAGCAGATAATGGCGGCGTATAAGAGCGGGCACGGGCCCCGGAGGAGTATCTGCCGCGCGGGCGCCCCCGACCTCCCGAGCCGCCGCCATGAGACTGCTCGTGCTGGTTGCCCTTCTGGGCGCCGCTGCCGCCTTCGTCGACCGCGACGAGTGGAACAACTACAAGATCGCGTTCGGCAAGAAGTACCGCAACGCCATCGAGGAGCTGCACCGCATGCGGGTGTACGTTGACAACAAGGCGTTCGTGGAGCGGCACAACGCCGAGTTCGCCGCCGGCCGGCAGACGTTCACCGTGGCGCTGAACCGATTCGCCGACATGACTGAGGACGAGGTGAACGCGCTCTACAAGGGCGGCGCCGGCCAGACGAGCCGACCCCACGGCGTTCACCGGCCCTCCGGCCGCCAGGCACCGGTCAGCATGGACTGGCGCGACCAGGGCGTCGTCACCTACGTCAAGGACCAGGGCGCGTGCGGCTCGTGCTGGTCGTTCGCCGCCACCGGCGCGCTGGAGTCGGCCTGGGCGCTGGCCGGCCGCGGCCTGCAGGCTCTCAGCGAGCAGCAGCTGGTCGACTGTTCGACCGAAAACAGCGGGTGTAACGGCGGCATGGCCTACCGCGCCTACTCGTACGTGGAGGACGAGGGCGGCATCATGTCCGAGGAGGCGTACCCGTACACGGCCCGCGACGGCAGCTCGTGCCACGCCGACTCCAGCCAGTACGTGGCCTCCGTCACCAGCCACGTGAATGTGCCGTCCCATGGCTCGGCCACCATCCTGCGCGACGCCGTCGCCGACGTCGGCCCGATCGCCGTCTCCATCGACGCGTCGCGTCACTCGTTCAACCTGTACAGCGGCGGCGTGTACAACGACCCGAGCTGCAGCTCTTCCTCGCACAACCACGCCGTGCTGGTGGTCGGCTACGGCACCGAGAACGGACACGACTACTGGCTCGTCAAGAACTCGTGGGGTCCCGAGTGGGGCGACAGCGGCTACATCAAGATGACCCGCGACGACACCAACCAGTGCGCCATCGCCAGCATCCCCGTCTACCCGGTGGTTTAGTCGGTGACAGGGGCAGAAAAACATCGGTACTGCATTACGTAAAATGATGCACACATAGAAAAGCTGAGCATAAATACATTTTTACGCCACTACGTATCTCCAGTGTCTCAGCACCTGTATTCAGTTATTCAGTATTCATGCATACATAGGCGGATCGCCTTGGGCGGATCTAGAAAAGCAGTTTCGGTCTTAACCCCAAAAATGTTTTTTTTTTTCAAATTCCAAAGAAAGCTCAGATTTTGATTCTTTATGAATTGCTATACCCTTAAAAAAACTTTTTGAATAAAAGTTGCTTGTTTTTCTTTACATTCTTTTTGGACAAATCTTCACCGATTTTCAAAATATGCAAATTTTCATTCGATTTGCAATTTTTTTCGCACGCTGCGAAGTGGCATTTCCCCCCCCCCCCCTGTATCCGCAAACGCATGTTTGGTGAATAGACAAAAATGTTGATAGTTCACCTTTACGAATAAGAATGAGCAATCATTAACTTAAAAAATACACGTTGAATACCAACCCTGCTTTCAAGGACTCTTGGTATGGTACGAGTCAGACTGCGAATCCTTTCAACCCTCAGACATTTAATTAGCTACATGCAAGCTGGGGCTGACCAGACCAAGTTCTATGGCCAAACACTACCTATTTACCTAAACACTACTATTTGTCAACACTCTTCTATAGATTTAGACTAGATTTAAAGCCGCAGAATCACGCAACTTGAGCCGTGCTTATGAAACCGATACTTTATTAGTGGGTAATTAGTGGGCATCAAATGCCTGCACGTCGCAGCGCAGGAACCTGAAACTTCACGAAAGGAACAGAAGAAGAGCCAAAAAAGCACCATTGATCAGTCGAATAACGTCTTGGAAATAACAATCACGGCATCTTATCTGCAAAAGTAATTGGTTTAGCCTTCATGCAAGCTTCTTGCAAAAAGTCTGTGATTTCCTATTTAGGTTTGCTGTTTGCTGATAATAAAAAAGGTGTTTTAAGTAAGCCGAAAGATGCAAAGACAGCAGATGGGTGCACCTAAAATCTGCATTTTGTCCGAAGCCCTCGTTGCGCAGCTGGGTCGTCGGGTCAATGCAGCGGCTACGTTACAGCACCTTTCCCCACAGCCGCATCATGACTGGGATACAGCGGAGAGCACGGGAGCGGCGAGCCGGCGGGATAGGTCGTTCACCTCGACCGGACAAGGTCACGCGGCGCTCCGCTCCCGCGAGCAGCTCCCGGGTGCGGCCGGCGACCGGCGCGGCGGCCGTCTGCACGGATCCAGTCACTACACACCGCACAGTGCACACAGTCGGTCAGGGTGGAGCAAATGCACTGTAGGCCGGCAGCCTGAAAAAGCGCTAGAAATTCCCCCAAACTGACTGTCCGCAATATGAACAAAATAGGTATCATTTAATCCCAAATTGATCGAAGAATACGATTCCGATGCTAGTTTTGCCTTAAGGTCAAAATTGAGGTCGTCAGTTGTCACCAAACACAAGACAATTTAGACTCTCTATAGGCCACCACATTTACCGATTTTAATGATGAACTTTAGTGGTAATTTATTAGTTGACCAATCGTCGTTATGAACGAAATTTCCTGTCAGACTAGTTCAGGGCACTGTTGTTCACTGTGCCAACATCATTTTGACATATTGCATCGCTTTTCTGCAAGATAAGCTAGCTGTTTGCAAGCAGCTGCAAGACGTAATTTAAAATCGTATCCAATTTTTTAATTAGACTTTTATAAAAACGTTATTTCGAGCGGCTAAAAATGAACATTTTATACTAGCCTCTGATTACTCATCTTTTGTTCCATATAGGTGCTTTGCTGCTTTTCCCTGCTACTTTTCGAGATATGCGCCAGTAAACCACATGATGTAGGGGCAATTGTCACCTCGCCGCTCTACTGAAGGCCCGGCGCTCTTTAAAACGCTGGAAGTTGTGAAAAACAAACGCTTATAATCTAAATAAAATATATGTCCCTGAGCTCAGAATTGATCAACGCACACAATGCTGTCAACATTTCTGGGCCAAACTAAAAAAATTCAGTCATTATTAACCCCTAAACACAAGTCATTGATAATCAACAACAACTTGCTCTTTAGTTAGACTTTTTGAGAAATGTTATTTCGAGCCGCTAAAAATGGCCATGCCATACAAACCACCAATCATCTTTCTGTCATGCCCTACTCGCAATTTTTGCTAATGCCTGCTACTCTTCGAGGTCACGTGACCTCACCATTAAAAGTGAATGGGGAAATAAGGAAACTGTTGTTTTTGCGCATGGAATGATTTCAAACTATCTCAAGCACATGGAATCGTGATTTCGTGCACTCCTTGCAAGATCCGATGCTTTACTTTTGCATTTTTGACCTTCCGTGACGTCATTTATGACGTCACACCGGTCATAAGAGTTTCTCGTCAATAACTCAAGATCAAATTGAGCCAGCGACTCGGGAAAGCCACCAATGGACTCGGGAAGACCTCCCGAATCGAATGATATGCGATACGACCTCCTTCGATTAAGTTCGTGGCCTGATGGGCTCTGAACTGACCTTGACTCGAGGTCAATACCTTAAGTTGACCTCACCTGAACAAAAAGTATACCATTCGACGCGCCTGAGCCAGGCGAACACGATGGTGCCAAAATCGCTGCTCTGCGGCCATTTTTTGCGAAATTATTTGCCAAAAACCAAACCCTACCTTGGGCTTTTTGACTTTACATCAGAGGTTACCGGTTGACCTGGGACCTTAAAATCGGGTATCAATCGTTCCGCCTTGAAACGGCGCACACGCTTGTTTTTTCCGCGAGGCTCTAGCTCCATTAGGGGCGAAACGGCAAAAAGGGGTCGTACCAACCCTCCCCCCTCGGCCGGCCGAGGGGGTGGGGGGTCCGACAATAGGTCCGGCGAGGGTTAAGCAGCCCCACTTCGTTTTTAGCATGTTTGCTTGTCACTGAGGTCAACAACTCAATCACAAATAATTTCTAGCACTTTTCCGGACCCCCGGCCCAGTGTGAAATGGAGCGGTGGGACCAGTGAACACTAACCGGTGAGGTGTAATAAGGAGAATACGAGCCGCTGCATTTGAATGCATTTACCTTCTTGGTGCTGCAAATGCTCGGCGAGAAACAATCGGAACGATATTTTAACGAGCAACAAGGACTGCAAAGGCGTCACATCTACCTTCTTGGTGCGGTAAGTGCAACAGACACAGATATTAATAGAGTACCTAACAACGGAATTTTTACTTGTTTGGTCATCCAGAGTCCAGAGGCTCGTTTCAATCACTAACGCGACACCTGAGGCGAAGCAGTCACACTACAGCTTCACCACCGCTGTCGCCAGACGGCAGCACTGCTCTCCAAGGTTGCTGACCTCTGCGGAGATGAGCTCTCCGGTCGGGAGTGACCAAGGCGGCAGGTGAGGGATGCGAACAGTTCACTGCGAGGAATATCGGTGCCGCCCTGGTGTTCATTTACCGGCGAGTGTTTCGTGGGCGTTGGTCAGCGACGGCTGGAGACGATCGCCCGTGTGTGCCGTGTCTCCGCCTCCCGTGCTGTGTGCCGGCCTGCCGCAGTGCCTGGGGGCATGTTTAAGCGGACCGCCGCCGGGCAGCCGGCTGCACCGTGCAGAGTACCGGTCACGGCAGGCCCGAGCGGTGCCCAGCGCGGAGTGAAGTGAGCTCGCCGCCGTGAGCCGCTAGACTGTGCTGGTGACCCCACGGTACGAGCTACCCTTGCCTCAGTGATATAGGGCAAACTTCGTCGGTGACGGTACGGAACGAGCCGTCATCGCCACAGTGATACCGGAAGGCTGACCGGTCGGCTGTTTTATGTGAAGCCAAAAGGTAAGCGGCAACAAGTCTTACTTTTTCTGGTTACAGTCATGTCGGGACTGGGAGGCTGTAGGCGCATAATCCACAATGATTGAAAATGTGCGATACCCAAATCGCACTTTTCAGTTGTTCATAACTCCATGCCTCATGCACCCGCATTGCGCTGCTCGTCAGTGTACTTATCGTTTACGCTTATCGCTTATACATATAAAAAGCTCATAACTAGATTACAGACTGGCCTGTTCCTTTCAGGCCTAAACAACTGACCTTTCATCTAATTTTCCAAGGAGCTTGTGGCATAAATCCCTACTGATAAAAAAACACCGTCCATTATCATTCGTTCCTATACTTTCACGGCTTCCAGCATTAATGGTCATCGGCTAAAAACCATTTTACCAGTTCCGGTTCAAAATTCGCAGTTGATAGGTAAAAACCCTTTTAGCGCCAGGATGTGCGATTTGTGCAATTGATCGGAAAATGCGTTGATGCTCGAGCAGAAGGAGCGAATGTCATTTATCTCAGCGAATGTATCCACGAATGTTTTGCTAGAATGACACCACTGTAGACCCGAAGTCACAGAGGAAGTGCGTTGTTTGCATGTCGTTTCAATCCTAGGAGTATACCAGGCCACGACTCAATTATTTCAGTACAACTGGGTAACTGAGAACATTCGAGTGCCTTGAGTGAATGCCGTCGAGCCAATCGAATCATAGATAATAGACACATCTACGCTTTGAGCGGCATTTCGAGGCCGGACGTAAATAGTATTCGTCGCCCGGGGTGTAAGCGATCACATCGTTTTGTTGGACTTCCATATAATATGCAGAACTCGCTGCAAAGTGCAAAGCTTCGAGACATCGCCGCTCATGTGGAGATGGGCAGGAGGTAACCGATTAGATGTGGCTGATACCGCTGAATCCTTTCGGATGCTTGACGGTGGCCTTTCACCAAATTAGCTGGGGGCCATATTCAATAACCCCCTCACGCATTCTGGATGCGTCACGTGTGTCCTTACTAAATCATCTGGTTTCAGGCTTCAATCCGATCCAGTCCAAAGATGAAGATTCATGCAAGACATATACTTCTTCTGATGCACGTCACATTTGGCCTAAGTGCTGCTGCAATAGTAAAAGGTAAACGAATCAAAAATCCACATTTTTAATGATGCATGGTTCTCTCTCTACCATTTATTTCTTGCCTAGAATCAGGCATATGATCAAACAAAAACCTTCGTAACTTTGTGTCGCACACGTGATACGATTCTCATACGATCATTCTGACCACCACTGATCCAACAATTCCCACATCAATGAACAATGAAAGCATTTGTATCCGTGCATTTTCACGCATTTCCGCCGAAATGACAATTTGTGTGTACAACTGAAACCATTGGGGCTACGTTCCTCCTCTATTCCCAGAAAACACTGGCCGTTATGCTGTGGAAGGCGCCACTCCATCCTCCATGTTTGTCGAGGTGTCAGCGTCGTACAACTCGAGCTTCGTCAAAGTCAACGGACGATATGTAAGCATTGGCCTTGTATGAAACCGTTATATGTAATTACGTGTTGCATAATTGTTTGTTTATTGATCTAGCTCGGAAAAAAACTAAAACCATTCCGTCGTTATCAGTATCTAAGCCTTTTTTGCAATTACGTGGTGTAGGTACTGGTAGTTAAATGCCGTTTTTTTTCTTCTGCGCTGCAGTGTCCGGTCCTCGCGGACCTCTGACCTCTGGGCCCAATATTACCAAATGCCGTGAATGCGCATTCACGGCATTTGGTAACATTCAAAACTATTCAACATTCATTTATTCATTCGTTCGGGTAACATTCATAATAATTCTCGCCATCAAAATCATTGGACAAAATTAGCTGAGTGTTATTAAAAGGGATATCATTGATATCAGTGCCGTAAACTCCGGTCAGTGCTGCCAAATCCTATTCACGGCATTGGTAAGATTGGGCCCTGGTCTCCTCCCTCTCCCTGCCACCGCACAGGTGCACTACCAGGACTACTCGGACGAGCAGCGCAGCGGACTGCACCTGCTGGTCCTCCACCCTTCCACGGGCGCCGTGATGGCCCGCCGCTTCAACCCTGGTCACTTCAAGGCCGGCTACATGGACATCGTGCAGTTCCTACAGCGGGTCCAGCCCGGGAGGATTGTCGTCCTCTGCACTCAGGTGAGCTCTGAACTTTGACCGATATGTAGTGGCATAATCAGTGGATTGTGGGATGTGTGATCCATTGGCCCATCTGTGTGACAGTGCGAGATGGGGCATCACATTGAAAATCCAGTCTGTAGTCGCTCTCACACCTAGTTCTCCGCTCGGCAGCACGAGGCCAGTTTCAGTCTAGAGCCGATCACGCGTCGCTATTTCGCCACCTTTGCGCCGCATCTGGCTGGAATCGGTCGGATGAGTCGATACGCGCTGGTGATGAGACACGGTGGTGCCGTCTTCGCCGAGGGCTACGTCTTCCACAAGTCCATGCGCCTGCCGCAAGAGCCGCTGCTGGTTACCGCTACTGTACCCATCGACCCAGAACTAGGTGAGGGGCGTCGGGGTGTGGAAAGGAGAGGGGTGAAGATAAAAATATTTTTATATGACTTCATGTGGCTAAATCATGGAGAAATTCATCGTCACTGATCACTGGCCATCAGCCGCTTTTTTTGTATTCACCCACCACCATATTCCACATGTCCTGTCCCGACTCGTTCTTCTCTCTCACGTTCCTCAGTTCATCCCCGAATCTCTCGTTTCTCGTTCTCCTCTCTCCCTGTTTTCGACTCACGCGTCTTTCTCCTCCTCTTGTCTCGCCGAAGCCCTTGATGACGTGTCTTGATGTGTTCTGCAGGTAGACCCTGCATGTGGACAGATCGCACCCGGGCGCAGCAGCGTACCGACTTCTGCGACAAGTACGAGGGCTTCGGCGGCCTGTGCAACTGCTCGGACCCCGATCCCTTGGACAGACCCTTCCGACCGGTACGGCGGTGACCGTTATATATCTGGCGCTGTGCTGGCATTTATAAGCGGCTTCCGAGAAAGGTGCCTTGGTAAAAAGTAACATATCGTCAGTACAACTTTGCGTTAACATTTCCATTAAAATGTATCCATTTTTTAAACATATTGCAGTGATCATTACAACGTGATCTGTGATCGTAATCATTCGTGCTGATCTCATTTCAGTTGCTGCATAACCGAACGTTTCACTACCCGATCGCAATTCTGGGTGGCGACAGGGCATCATATTTATATAGGTAAGCGTTAAGCTATGCACAAGTCGATGTTTGTGATGTGCCGAACCTTTAACTTAGAAAAAAGTAAATAAGGCTTCAAAGTGGGAGTAAATGATCGTGAAGTGTTCAACTTTCGGACATGGTTAATGACTTTTTTCATAACAATTTTTCACTTTTCGTGTTCCTTTCCTTTTGCAGCTCATCGTGTTGGTTGCAGCATCACCTATACTTTCTGAGCTTTTAATGAATAGTCTTTACTTTCCGAACATTTCAGGTCACTGGAAACTCTGCTACCAAATCGCGGACTGAACAAAACAAGGGTGACCATTTTCCTACAAGACTACTACGAAGAAGTCCAGGAACTGGCTGCTCTGCTGGACATCAGAGTCGTGGTGAAAACTACATCCTCCAGCGCCAAGGTACGAAGTATAGTTTGATGCTGCAACTGGTCACTTTCGGTACTTCACTATTCAATATCATTCTCATTGTTGACATTTAATTCATCACCATATCACTTGAAAAAAACATCGCGTTCACCCCAGTGCATTTGGACATTTCAGGGCGGAAAAATCAGCATGAACATGAAGAACGCGATTAAGACGTCGTTCGAGCTCTTTCCGGACGCCGACAAGCTGATAGTGCTTGAGGACGACCTTTATGTGTCACCAGACTTCATCAGGTTAGACGTGTGAAGCATGGAAAATGAACATATCTTTATGCATGTTGCATGTGTCACCAGACTTAATCAGGTCAAGGCATCCAGAACAGTCTATGTATGCGTCATTTGCCTTCAGACTGAGTTTTTTATTATTATTTTAGGACTCCATGGTCGCTTGACATCAGTCAACCGCCACGCATGCATCTTTCCAAATTAAAAAAGCACCGATCGGATGTGCCATTTTAACGCCACGGTCCATTTCAGCTATTTCGCCCAGACGGCTCCCCTGCTCGACGAGGACGTCACGCTGTACTGCGTCTCTGCCTGGAACGACCTCAGCTACCGGCACAGCTCGGCGGACCCGGCGCTGCTCTACAGGTCAGTTTATCAGACCCCGCGCTACTCTACGGTCCCATTCAGTGTCAGCTCTACAGTCCCATTTCTCCAGCTCGTCAGTCGGTCCCACGCGCCACACGATACCTACATCTAATTTGCTTAACTCGATAGAATGGGCAAACTTCACCCTTACCTCCTACACCCTTTATTTATTTCTAACATATTTGCAATTAAATATTGATCAAAAGAATACAAAAATACAGCCCAAAGAGTTAGGTGACAGTTTGAACATAATTGTGTACCATGGTTGGCCATTGCAGGACGTCCTACTTCCCCGGCCTGGGCTGGATGATGAAGAAGTCCATTCTGATGGACGAAATGATGCCGAAATGGAAACCGACATGGTCTGTAAGTGTCACTTTCCATATTTACAGACAATCATACATCCACGAAAATAATGCCTGCATCAGACACACATTTGTGCTCAACCATTCCAACAGGTAAAGGTGCCAGAGACAAACTTGATATTCAGGGATAAATGATAAATAACTATTTGAGGAAATACTGCTGACGAGTTACTTCCAACCTGTGATCACAGCTCCACGACTCTGGGTTCGAAATTGACCGTTTGCGTCAGCACAGCTCAGCACAGCTGCCAACTGGATCTGCTGACGCCTTGTTTGACTTTCATCTTCCGTTTGTCTGACTCCATCACCTCCAGACGTCCCGTTCAGATTCCTGGCATTGATCGTGACAAACCAGCTGAAAATTCTGCATTCGGTGAATACTTTCTCTGCTGATGAGTCCCACGATGCCACGAAAAGTTTGCAGAGCCCGGAACCTGTAAAATGGAAGCTATTTCCCTGTGAAAGTACGACTGACAGCTCAATCGGCCCCCTGCCCGGGCCCCGACCGGTCACTGTCCCGCTGGGTGACCCGACCCGTGCCGCCGCAGACCTGGGACTGGGACATGTGGTTCCGTACTGAGGACGTGGCGCTGTACCGCGAGTGCGTCGTGCCGGACGTGTCGCGCACCTACCACTTCGCCTACCTGGGCGGACACGTGTACAGCTACCTGCAGTACCAGTACTACTCGGACAAGTCGCTCAACACCCTGCCCGACGTAGAGCTGCACGACGTGGCCAGGTCAGTAGAAACACTCGGCGAGCGGTCAACACATCACCGAGACGCAGTCAGCGGGCAACTGACAGTCATGAAAAATGATACAAAATTACATAGTGTTTCCTTTTACACTCATTCATGCTAGCGTACATTTGAATAATCCTGAGTCTACCCCTAATACTCCAACCTTATCATTATATCGTCAGTGAATGTGCAAATGTTATGAAAGATTAGAATAGCACTACCGTGGATACGGATTCTGGGCAGTAATCGCCACGCATTTGGAATGCGGATCACTCTTACATGTAAATACAATACATATAATGCAATACAATACAATACAATACAATACAATACAATACAATACAATACAATACAACACAATACAATACAACACAATACATACCATGAATAAGAGCGAAACCAGCGTACAGAAGGGACATGACACCGGCCGCCGCCGTTTCAGCATGACCTACCCCAACTACCGTCGGTCCATCTACAAGCTGTTGCCGTCGCTGCGCGTGCCACCCATGAAGCCGTTCTACCGCACCTGTCTGGAGCTGTTCCCGGAAACACCCGACCCGGAGGTGGGTACCAAAAGGCACCCGAAACGAGCAACGGCAGTGCTTTCTAAAAACTATGTTTATATCTTTACTGTATGAGCTTACATCACATCATGGAAGGTTGTGCCGTCAACTTAGGTAGAGCTCCGTCGGTCAACGCATGATCTAAGTAACGCGCATGTAGTTGCCCTGGACTAAAGTGACTATGTGCTGAACTGTAACATGAGAGACGATGAGATTCGAAGGGTACAAGGTACGTAGAGATCAAAACTATCATTAATTTGATGTTTATTTGGTAAGCTTAACAACACTGACAGTCAGTGAAGGATTTTTGTTCAGTTTGGCATGCTACGTAAATTGTCTTATAACTGAGCCGTTTATCTAACAGCGTAGTTTATCTAACAGCAAAATTAATAGCATTATTTCATTTTTCAGGAACGAAAACGACCCTACTATCTGGCATTCACCATGAAACACGCATATGACAGAGGAGGGATTCACAACATCATGTCGGTAAGTTCATCATGTACACACTTGATGTAGCGTAGGTAGGTTATAATCATCATGGGTGCCTTATACGGAAGCATAAAACACATGATGTACGTCAATAAAACGTTACACCGTGTAATCAAAGCCAACTAATTGAGACGCCTCGCTTTCAAAGGTCTATAAAATAGAAGAAAAAAGCAAGAGATCTGTCAAGGCGCCCGTTAACCTTCGCCTCAGTGGGGGGGGGGAGCATATGTTACCACCCTGTCGCGTTTTTCGCGTGTGAATAAAAAACCGCGGCGCGTAGCGCCGCGCCGCTTGGGGTAGCTTTTGGTACATCAATTTTGGACAATGTGTGAAATTTTTGACCACAGGTCATGTCAGGTCAGGTCACCAGGTCAAGTTAACTGACCAAGCCTTAAAAAAAGTTTGCAATCATGTCCAGCCTGCAGTGTTTGTCAGAAAGGTTTTAAACTTGTTGGATTGCATGCTGTTATGGGAGCCTACAATTTGTATATCTCGGATTTTTTATATCCGTGACCTAAGGTCAGGTCAGTGGCATGACCTTTCCATTACAAAAGTCAATGGAAAAAAATGAAAATGCCTCTAGATCCGTGTGTACGCATAGGAACAGTCCAAATATTTCAGAATCACAATGATTTAGTCCACTCGTGATGACCAAGGTGTCATTTTTGCTGATAGCCTCTAGAAAGGTCATCCGAGGTCATTTGAGGCTACAAACAGTTTTTTGCCAATAACTCGCGATTGGAAAGAGATAGAACGCTGGGGATGGTCTCATTGTGTTTGTCTTGTTGAGACGCATCGACTGATATGCAACATGACCTTTTCCAGTCAGGTCATGACCTTGACCTGAGGTCAAATTTTTAAGTTGACCTTTCAAGGTCAAATTATAGTTCATTCGACGCGTCTCGGTGAGGGGAACACGATTCTGGCAATAGAAATGTCGTGGCTTTTTGAAGTCGAAAGTTATTGTCGAAAAACACTTTTCGTAAAAACAGCTATTTTTGGAGTTTTTGCCCTCTGGAGGCTAAACCGTTGACCTGAGGACAATATTGATAATGACCTTTTCAAAAGAAGAGTTCAAAAGCTATCGATTGCTTTTCCATGCGTTTTTCTAGCTACCATAGTTTCTGAGATAGCGGCATGTTTTCTGAAAAATATAATGACAATTGGCAAATTTTGACCTTTGATGACCTCTGGTGACCCCAATATTGCTCTAAGGTGAAAAATGACCTCAAGCGTACGTATTGAGAGCTATCGACTGCTTTTTACCGCGTCTTTCTAGCCCTCTTAGTTTTTGAGTTAGAGGTGGGTGGTAACATATGCCCCCCCTCACTAGGGCGAAGTTGGCTGAGACCGCCACTGGGGCGCGGGTTAAATAAACATGTCGCCCGGAAATCGTTCGGAAATACCAACATATAGAGATTTTAGCAACGAGCCTATGGTGAAATTGTACTATAAGCGGCAATTATGTTATCGCATCACAGAATTACTTGAGACCTATGTCCGTATACCATTCTCTATCGTTTATTTTGTTTCGGTCCTTTGCGAAGGCTCGCCTTCACTGCACTGTAACAAGTCTCGCTGATTTTCTCAGTGTCTCGGTCTGTGGGACCTGGACGTTCGGGGTGACCACAGAGGAATGTGGAGATTCTTCATCAACGGCAACCCCGTCATCGCCATGGGCATGCCGTTCTCAGAGTACGGGTGAGTCAATGTAAGACGGCACCCAATGTTGAAATCTATTGAGCGAGACGAGGATATTCGTCGATGGTCCGGCATTTACCGCCAGACAAAAACAAAGACAAATGGCAAACTGTTCAACATGAACTCGACAATGCACATGCTTTACGCGATGTAGGTTTGTCAGTTGTCTTTGTTGCGTCATAGATGACATCAGATATATTTCTAACATGACTAACTTTTCAGCGACGGAGTAATGGGTGCCATTGGACTCACCCCTGTTTTCGATTTCAAGAAATATAATATCGAAAGGAAACGCGAGCCTTCTCTAGACGGCGGTAACCCCAAGGTGAGACCAATGTGCATTGTCGTTATGTCAATTTGCAGACGACGTCTGCTTTGATGAGTTTGTTCGTTTGTTCGATTGTTAATTTCTTGTTTGCGTTCAAACATCAACGATTCTAGCTGAATTTTTAATGAACGTCTTAAAATCTAATAACACTTCAAAACATCAAACTCATGAAATACTGAGACATTTAAAACTGCCGATAAGCAGCCAATTTCTTCATATCAATCGTTCGAAGGCAAACTCCTAAGATCATCATGGGTTTCAGGTACACGAATTTGTGTCTCCCGATGAAGAGGAGACGGAAGATAGCGCCGCTGAATTGGACGAATTTGAACTCAATGCATATGACGAAACGGGCGCATCTATTCCGAAACTCGGCGAATGAAGGACAAACATATCTGATAAAACAACATTTACATTACGCATATTGCAATGCTTGACACAATACAATGTCATGTAATAGGGGCAAAGGGCCTTTGACAAAGTGAACGGTAGAATAAATGTGTCATATCCTTCGCACCCGAACACCACATATGGGTGTGTAGGCGGCACGTTAGTAGCTCTCTCCGAACACAAAGTTAGTTGTCAACGGTGAATATTCTTGATTGAGCACGGTTTGAGAGCACTAACAATTTTGTGCCATGGCGTGTGAAACGAGATACTTGTCTTCTCGAAATACACAAAGGGTTATTTCACATATTGTGCCCGTGAATTCACAAGACGAATAAGTATTTTAGTGGTTCAAATTCAGCAGATAGAGCTTGTTTAGCTATTCTAAGCATTCCATTTCACATTTTACGGAGGCTAAAACGCCTTTGAGTCACGATATTAATTTGAAGATTAAAAAAAAACGGAATAAGTGCGCTGGACAGGTACACCCAAAGGTACACACAACCTTGGGTATGTATGTACAACGGTCCTCGATCTGAACTAAAAGTGATATATGTATGTACATATGTGTAACGGATTGAGGTTCTGAGCGATGTCATATGAGCCTCTCATGTGCTGTGTTGATGCCACATTAATACAAACAACCTGACAATTAAAGGCGACGTGTTTTTTTTTCTACATTTGCTCATCTTGTTTCAGGGAGCACATTTGTAGACATGGCCACCCCTCCTGTCAACGGGTTAGGTATCCTGAGAAAATGTTTCTGTTGCAAAATCGCAAGACAATAAATAGAATATCTGGCTATTTAATTGTGATCAACAAGTATTGGCCACGAAATCCTCAACTGTGCAAGTGTACACACCACACTTGAAGGCTTAGTGACACCTCACAGCAGTAAAGCACGTTACCTAGTTATTCCTTGTTCTATTTATAATCATCGACGAGGTTAGGTCTTTATAAATGGCCATCTACGTCAAGCAGGCCCATTTCGCCAGCGATAAATGAGCGTGGAATAAATAAACAGCAGGATCCCAAGAGAAAAATGGAACGCAGCAACTACTGGCCATTTATTATTCTAGGGAACTATTTCGACGATGGTTTGTTTTTTGTCAACATTTCGAACTCAGGTGGTGTGTAAGTTTTCAAGTCGGAACGTTCGCCAGCCGGCTGCGTTACAAGAATCGGGTAGAGGATGCAACCATTCCCGTTCTGATAGTGACAGCGATCACACGCACGCGCGCACGTCAGAGTCCCACGCACGCCCCCCCCCCCCCCAGCCCGTGGGATGCCGGGTCAGGGCGCGGGGCGGGCGGCGCGCAGGCGACTTGTTGCGCGGCCGCCACCGGGCTGGAGATCGCCGACAGTCGCCTGCCGCCTGCGGGAGACGAGAGGCGGGCTGTGGGGCACGAGAGACGCTGTCTGTGGGAGACGGGAGACGCGTCTTTCATCCGTGGAAAAACAGACGACAGCCGCGAAAGAAGAAAAAAGCCGGGAGGAGCAGTTTTAGCTTCCTAATAGACGGTAGTCCCTACCGTTATTCTAAACAGTGTAAACTAAAAACAACGAGAGTGAGACGGCTGTTTCGGTGCCACCGAGTGGAACCTTTTCGTGAGGCCAGCACATCTACAGTTCCCGGAGTGAGAAGAAAGGGACAGTGAGTGACAGAACCATCGGCCGACGGAGCTGAGACGCCATGCTGGCGGGATGTGCACTGAAATACTGACCAGCAGGTAAGTATGTGCCGTCGGGGAATAATTTGTGAAATTGTATTTATTTTAGAGCATCACTTGTTTTTCTGGTGCCCTTTTATTTTGGATCAAATCATTGGTACGTAAAAAAATGTGTATGCTTCATAACTATGGAGCATAAAACTAAGGCCCCGAGCCCGTTTAAAATGCGATTTTTATATAACATCTCAAAATCCCGAAATAAAGCACTCGCAGTTGAATGGGAGAACGTGAAATCATTCTCATTAGAACACACAATCAGTTAGGACGTGTGAAAGACAGATTTCATCATAAGGCGGCTGGTTTATCAATTTTCGTTTCAAACCTGACAGGTCAATCGAGACGGCGTAAAGCAAAAATTAATCGAAAGTATTTCAGCGCTAGCCCGAAACAAAGTGCCAGACGAACCACAAAAAGCAGCACAAAAAGCATCATAATAAAGCACATATAAACCACGTACCGATCAGGAAAGGCACTCACAGCGGAGAGTACCTATTAGTACCGGGCTTCTCACAAAAGTCAGATGAATTTTTAATTAATATATTTTAGGATGTGTCAGTGTTACAAAAATAAATCAGGTATCACCTGAAAGCCTGGTTAAAGATGTTTTGTTTCAGGGGATTTCGACCGTCGGCGATCGCCTTACTGAGCCGCGCCAGACCTGTTCGAGATGACCCCCGTTTCGCTCGATGCAAAGTTAAGCCCGGCGCAGCGCGGCCTCTGTTGCAGCACGGCACACGGAAGGTGGCAGCTGCGCACTGCCGACGACCTCACTGCACCCTTCAGGTCTTTGGGACTTCTTGGGTGGTTTCGGTACACCTGGGACTTGAGGTGGTCCTACAGGAAAAAGCCCGGTGGGGTCAAGTCCGGGGAGCTCGCTGGTCACAGATGTGTCTCAAACCTCGAGATCACACGCTGCCCGGAGCGCTCCTGCACTCACTCCCGGTTTTCTTTAGCGGTATTGGCCGTGGAAACGTCTAGTCTAGCTGGAACTATTGGCATTTGAGTGCGTCAGGATCGCTGCCCATTGTGGTCTGCAGGACACTACAAAAATTTGTCAGGGTCATCCGGAATCGCTGACCGTTGACAGCCTGGGTAGCGCATCTCTCACACGAGCGACGTTCACCGGGGTTCTTTGATTGGGTTTGCGGCCGCCGCTATGTTCTTTGAACCAGCAGTTAACATTTCCTCGGCCCAGAAACTTTCAACAATGTGGAATATAACATTTCAAGATGGTGTTCACTTTGCAAGAAAAAAAGATTGCGGAAGTTCCGTTGTGTTGAAACGACCGACTTATTCTGAAAGTAGAATTTCTTTGAGCTTGCTTTTGCTTCTTAAGACCACAGTCTCATTTTTTAAACTCAACAAGTATGGTATCATATAAATCTCCCAAAAAATTTGCTTTCTATTCACGTGCATTTGTTTCGTTTAAATATTGTTTCCAGTCCACTATCTGCAAAAGAAATTGGTCCGACTTTTGTGAGAAGCCCGGTATTTTCACCCAAGATAAAGAAATGATAGTCATAAGTCTGTGATGTAAGAAAGGGAGAGGTTGTTGAAGCATTTTGCTTGCCAACTACTGACTGAAAAGATTGTAGAGAAAAAGGTATTGTTTGCAACTTCAATTAAAGGTACCTGGCCTTGAGATTGAAATACAATGTATATGTGACCTTTTTTAACAACGGCTCAAAAGGTTCGCTTGCTGTAGGCGGCGGGCCGGCCAGATTTGATCATTTCCAGTCCGGGAACTTCTATTGAGCTTAACAATGAACACCGCAAATGATGTCAAGCATAAATAGTTATGTCCTCCCTTGAGCAGTGGTAAAGTCAGCTGGCAGGAAAGCCTGTTTATAGGGCGGGTCTATAATACCCCAGAGTCATAGTGCAGGTCATTGTTATACGATTGCTGGATACAGCATTCTTCAAAGCAAGGAGTTCATGGAAATTCAGACCTTGATTGAATTGTACATATAATTGGTATCAGACATCTTCCAGTTTAGAGTCTAGAGCTTTGCATAGCAAAACAGAGCGAGGAGCCTTCGAATCTGGGCTGAATGTGGTCTAACTTACGCTACATTTTAAACAGGTGCATTTGTCTAACTCTATAAGATCATAAGCGAAACAAGTCGGTATAATTTATATCACTTATGTACATATGTATATCACTCGCGCTCACATAAAACGAATAGACATCAGCTCACGACTGAAACGCACTGACGAGAAGTAGAAAGATCTCATTACAACAACACAAAACTTCATCATTTAGTAAGGATTACAACAAAATAGGTCACATTTTTCGTGACGGATATGGAATGAACATGAAATATCACAAATCGGTAGTAGAATAAGCCAATGATCTATTTCAATCAAATCCTGAAAAGGTAAGAAAAGAGAACTATTACATTATCCTCATAGATCCAATGGGGCCCAACAGCATTGACAACGAAGGTAAGTATCTCATGTGGCCCATATGCGGCCGTCAGAGAGAGGGTTATTCACTGGCATTGTCAGACAGTGTTCGCCACGGGCCGCAAAATCCCAGTCCAGCCTAGCCCAGGCTCATGGGTTCACAGCCCGGCCCAACCCGTCAAAAAGGAATGGATTAAAAATTATTGACACCACGCATGAGTACCCAAAGGTAGGAAAGGAACAGTCTTTTGCTAGCAGCATGCACAATGCATATTGCATGTGTGCTTTATTAAAACCCGCGCCCCGTTGGGCTCTGCCTAGCAACGCGCCCTGTTGGGGGGGGGGGGCTATTTGCCCCCCCCCCCCTAAGATCTCGAGAACCACGCAACCTAGCGACAAGCGGCAAACGGTGTTGGATAGCCCTATCAGGGAACTACCTTGTGACCCAGTTTTATTGACCTAGGTCAAACTGATGACGTCACAGGTCAGGTCAAAGGTCGAATTTTCACCCTTTACAGGCATTTCAAGAAATGCGTTGTAAAATCGAGTAAAATGCATTTAATTGAAAATCATCGATGGGGAAATGTTCTTCAAACACATATTTTGCTATTTGAGGTCACTGATACCAGGTCAGGTCACAGAGGTCAGGTCACTGGGGGGTCACAATATGAAAGTGTCGTGTGATACATGTTTTATGGTCCATTTTACATGACAAATGCGATTATGTGGGTCAGGCAGCCTTTGGGGTCAGCTTAGGTCACGTTTTGGTCAAGATCAGGTCAAGGTCAGGTCAAGGTCAGGTCAAGGTCAGGTCAAATTAGATCAAATTTCAAAGTTGATATTTTTGCATAAAATGGGCATCGAATCGTTTTTTTTTTTTAAATCAATTTTTTAAAATTTTTTTGGGAATAGAAACCCCAAATTTTGAAAATTCGAGATAGCAGTTTTGTAGCGCCGCTTTTTGTCTACTAGACCATATAAAGAACTTTGAAATTGCTTGATAACTATAGATTTGGTGAGCGTTTCAAGATTGCATGTTTTTTTTTCTCATTTTTGCTCGAACATGACCTCAGTTTGACCTCAATAACTCCTGACCTAAGGTGACCTAAGAATTGAAATTTGGCGTGAAGGTGTCAAATTGATGCCCGGGAAGGTACTGAAAATTTGGCGGCGCTGAGCGCCGCCGTTTTCTTGCTATTCAGGAAAAACCACAGGGGGGGCCAAATTGCCCCCCCCCCCCAACGGGGCGAGGGTTAACTCGTTTTTGAGTCTTTCGCAGTAATAAGCTATGTAGTTATAGTTTTTGTCTCAGTTGCGAACCCCTGACTCCACTTTACAGTTCTTGGCCCAGCCCATCCACAGCCCATAGATCCTTCATATTTGAGGGCCCAGCCCAGCCCGTAGTCCAGCCCAGCCCAGCCCATGGCCCATTGGGCTGGCCCGGCCCATGGCGAACACTGTTGTCGGACCAGAGATGAGGCAGCAATACGCGCTGTCAATATCGAAGGTCATTCCATTGAAGTATAGTGCGATTCATAAGGATATCATTGGATAGGTCAGAGGCCGATCGACATTCAGACATTCAACCCTGCACAGTTCCAAATGAGATATTGATGGTCATTCCATAGTGTTTTATATTGGACAAGTTGTGCACATTACGAAACAAGTTCCGTAGTAAATTCTAGCCTTGAGAACTAAGTCTTTTACATCGAAGCGTGGGCTCTCCTTACCAATCACTCAGAGCTGATAAATTATGCCGGACATTGGCAAACTGAATCTCTGGAAACGAATGCGTCGGACAAAAACAATGCATTCATCAAAATTGCATTATTGGTAATCTAGCTAATGCCAGCAGGGAGACAGCAGCGTGCCTATAGCATCGTCTAGCAATATGAAATATAAGATGAAACATTAGACAATAGGTAGGCAATACGAATACTGAGTGGAGTAAGCAGCAATTTAAATTATTGTACGCAAAATATAATCATTATTATGTGATGTCAAAGACGTCGATTTTTTCTTTAGTTGCTAAGAAGGCAACTAAAGTGACTATGACTTGGCTTCCTAAGAAGGGTAAGCCAAGTCATAAAAACACGTTGAACATAGCATCGGTACCTACAAGTTTTTTCCATGAGACTATTTTGAAAAGCATTGACGTTGAGTAGCTAACTGATGAAACGAATATAATACGATGGCTTATATGCGGTCCCAACCTCGCCTAACCTTCTCACAAATTATAGCCTGATTGTACGGCATTGCACACATCGCCTCGATTTTCCCACATGTAAGTCATCTATCTGTGGCCAGGAGCTCTGAGAGGGGTTCCTCACCCCCCCCCCCCATCACCCCTCCCTTCCCACACACACACCACACACACACGCATGCACCGCCAGGAGCGACACACATACACCACAGCCAGGAGCGACACACGCGGTCGTCGATCGCTGATGTAGCCACCGCATTGAACGGGCTTTTAGCGTCGGATGCAGGCCCGGAAGGCGAGCTCGGCTCAGTGGCAGGCCCTCGGGTATCCGCGTGTCGGGTCTGCTGTCGCCGTGTAGGGAGGCCCTAGTCCCTGCCGCTGTGGAAAGGAGGGTGGACCCGTCTTCTTGGCAACAAGGTGAAGAAAACATTCGAGTCCTTGACATCATGTAAAGATGAGCTTTCGCAGCTGTCGCTGAGGAGAACTGCATCTGATCCGCCGCTGTCAGGGCAGACACCGCACGATCTGCCCGGCGCAATCCCTTCTTGTTGATACTTCGGACGCTACGCTATACAGACGAATTTACATAGCAATGTACCTACTATTTTTCAATAAATATGCATATGACTGACACAATAGATAAAAGAAAAAGGTGCCACCAGCTTCAGATAATTCGGCCGTTTTAATCAATGCCGGTCCCGTAGCTCAGTTGGTAAGAGCGTTGGACTCCGCGTGGTGAGAGCACGCGTTCCCGGGTACAACAGTTCGGGTTCGATGCGCGACGGGCGCTTGACATTTATGGGCCTCCTGACAGGTATGGTTGTGGTTGGTGGCAGGCCGTAGCCAGGCGAAGTCAGTGAGGGGATCGGCCGTGCGCGGCTATGTGCGCACGTTAAACTTTGGACTCTAAATTCTGCCATAGAACTGGAATTGCGCGATCGGAGGGTAGAGGCCAGGGTCACCGCAACAAGCCTCGCTTAGCGGTGGCTCTGTCCTTGTGAATCCTTCCTATCAAAAGGTTCGGACTAAATTTATAAAAAAATGCTTTATTAAATGAATATCGTGATTGATGTTACAAAAAAAATCCAAATCAAGATAAAATGCAAATTTAAAGAAACATACAATCGAGCTTACAATAGCTATCAAGCATTGTACGCCTTATATCTAGCCATATCTATACAGCAAATGAACAAGTTATTTCAAAACATCGATCTCATCCAGTTTCTAACTTCCCCACCGACATTTTACAGCACATTCAGACGACCGGTAGCATGCCAATGCACCAGATCTGGGAGTTCTAGGAACCAACCATTACCAACTGAGTGACGTTGGCCTTGTATGTGACGCCAGTATGTGATAAGTGACGTTCACTTTGCATATCACCAGTGTGTCTTTTTATAGGAGCCTGGACCATGGACGGGGAGAACCGCATCATCCTCAACGTGGGCGGCATCCGGTTCGAGACGTACAAGGCCACGCTGAAGAAGATCCCGGCCACGCGGCTGTCCCGGCTGACCGAGGCGCTCGCCAACTTCGACCCCGTGCTCAACGAGTTCTTTTTCGACCGGCACCCGGGCGTGTTCGCGCAGATCCTCAACTATTACCGGTGAGTGTAGAAAGGTGTCCAGAAGGGCGGTGCTGAACGCTGTAGGGTCAAAGTACTAAAAAAAATATGAATTTCTAACATTATTTGCACTTAACTGTGCTATTTGGTTTGCAATTCAAAGAAACATTTTAAATAAAAAGTAGCCTTCTTTTAATATCGAGTACACATCCTCTCGTATGACATTTCCACGCTGCACAGGCTTAGGTATGCCTCAGATGGCCCCAGTATTCACCAGGGTAGAAAGCCTGATACATTTTCAAAGAGTAGGTAGAACAAAATCATCAAAAAATAACACCACGTCACTACCAACCTTATACAATACAACTATGCTATGGTTGCCGTAGTTGTTATTTAACTAGTATCAAAATTGATTGTATGCAATGGGGAGGTAGCAAGTCGGAATTCGGATAATCGAAAATAGCAACTAGGATTGCCTTCTCAATCAATTACAACGTGATAACGTCTGCTACTTTTCTGAAGCTCGCTCATCGCTTGAATGTCACGAACATGGAGTGTTTCGCAAAATTAGAAAACTTGCCAGGGCTCAAAATCCTCCAGCATCGCCCCGAGTGTCTTCCAAGTGTTTCACCATTACTACTTGTTTCATCTGTAGGGCGCCTCTGTATTGCCAAGAGTTGGGCGTGTTTCTCGGAATGGGCGCAATCTGTAACTGAATTCCCTGGCTCAGTTCCATTAAGGGCAGCTTAATCCAGCGACCCTTAATGAGGCGTTCCCACGTTGCGGTGGCCGAGTTTCTGATGTCATCTCCGACTCGGCCGGGCAATGCCACGGTAATGACCCCACCGGCACGTGCCCGCGTGTGGGCGCCAGATACCGCGCGTCTAATGACTCGTTTAAAGCCCATTAATGCTGCGGATCGGCCGACGAAGCCAGGAATTGAGACTGCCTCAGATCTGCATCTGCGACTATTTTAAGCCGGCCGTCCACGCATTGAAGTTCGGGGAAACCATGCATGTCACATTACCGTGAAGATGGTGCCAAAGATAGTCATGTCATCAAGGCCCAACTGGATTAGTGGGGCGTGAAGCTAGATGATTGTGAATCTTGGCGGCCGCTAATGAAGTCAGAATCAAATTGATGGAATACATGTCGAGTTGAGATGAACTGAAATGTAAATTGCTATTGGCGAGTCGATGGTGCGAGTGAAAGAGCCCTAGACAAGCTGAATTGACCAGAAGCTTCAAACTTCTTCATTGGCACGTCTTGTCCATGGCAGATAAGACGAAATTGGAAACAATCTTATTTGTAGGTATCGAAAAGGGTTAGATTATAATTTTCGAATTCGGTTACGAGTTACGAAAGCGGTTACGAGTTACGATAGTTTGAGTGTTGATTGAGCTCAAGTAAATGTGATTGTAGTCAATCAATATGTTCAAAAAACCACTTTTGACGCCTATTTTCCCTAATTCAAGGTAGCACTGGCTCGCTAGTTAACTTGCTGAATAAGCTGATAGCAGACGTCCTAATTTTATGTGGTGTAACATCCAGTTGCGATATTTCGTATTCCTGAACAAAGCTAGCTCAGAGGTGCGAGTGGCGTTTCCCGCCGCGGGGTGTAGCACTATGTTTTCATTTACGAGGAATGTTCATAGACCGTAACCGGGGTTCATTACCCATTCCCCAGCGGGACGGAAAGGCCGCGGCGCCGTAAATGCGGGGTTCATTGTCGCCGGGCCGGAGTTCGGCGCCGCCCCTGAGTGTTTTTCCTCGGCACCGCTGAGTCCCGTGCGGCCCGCTGCTGCTGACAGGACGGGGAAGCTGCACTACCCGACCAACGTGTGCGGCCCACTGTTCGAGGAAGAGCTGGAGTTCTGGGGCCTCGACTCGAACCAGGTGGAGCCCTGCTGCTGGATGACCTACACCAAACACAGGGACACACAGGTACGGATGACTTACACCAAACACAGGGAGAGCCAGATATGGATGACCTATATTAATCAAACACTAAATGCTATAAACATCCATGCAGAATCTCCTCACTCCCTCAGCCCCCCCCCCCCCCTTCCTGCCTGCACCACAGTCAACACCTCTATTATAAGCAGCGCAAAACCCCTATAATCACTACTTCACATAGGTACACTAACCATTTCATCGGTCCGATTGCAGACAACGTTGGCGATTCTGGACAAGCTCGATTTGGATTCGGAACACCCGTCCGAGGAGGAGATCGCCAGAAAATTCGGCTTCGAAGAGGACTACATGGCTGGAAAACTTTCCTGCTGGCAAACTTTGAAGCCAAAAGTTTGGAGTCTTTTCGACGAGCCGTATTCTTGTGTAGCAGCAAAGGTAGGTGGTGATGGCTTTTGGCAATATCCCCAGGGGTGTAATCAGTTTTCAAAGTTTGAATCAAAGACAAGACCTTAATGCATTAAATTAATATTGGTAACAAGCTATTCAGTCAAAAGAGATTCGCGTATTTTAACCCGCTCGAAAATTTGGAGTGCCGTTCAGAAATAGATTTGGTAAAATCGATTACTTTTGGTTCTGAACCCAACATGTGCAGCTGTCTATGGGTTAGGGCCAAAGTCTAATTACTGCATCTCAAAAGGATAACAATCGACCAATCGGTCATACAATTAAAACCAATAAGAAATACTCCATCGCTTAGAATAAATCTAGAGAGATAAGGCAGTTGCTGCATTAGCAAGGCGCGAACATTGCCAAGAAGTCGTGTTCGAGGCCGTAGGTACATACATACCTCTACACTACGGTACGTAGTGTAGAGCTAACTGAATTTCCCTTGAGGCGTTGTAATGACCGGGACGTAAACACGAAAATCACATCAATTTCAATCAGCAGAACGTTACCAACAAAACATCCTCAGCTGCACAGGGCTTCAGACTGGGCGAGAAACATGACTTACTGCAGTAAAAACAAGCTTATAGGTACCTATGCACGCCCTAATGCTATTTTGTGTGTCTGAGAAATTCAATTTTAAAATCTTCCATCAGCATTATTTCTAACACCGGACGTGGTAGAAACAGTAACATTAATATGGCTAAAAACGTCAATATCGAATCAGAGCATACGGAACATTGTTCACGTCTCATTTGCAATAACAAAACTGTGGTCAAGTTCTCAAGTCCATCTCAAGCTAATGGGTCTTTATGCAGGGTGGAATGTGCATCAAAGAAGCAAAATGAGCTTAGTCACAAAGAACGTATGCATACGCAATACAGCTTTTCACCATTATTCTTTCGATATCGGGACAGTGCCAGTCAAGCAATTTAACGACAATGCCATGAGCATACGAGAAGCAGCAGCCCTTGCCGGATATTTCTAGAAGCTCTGTCGACCAATAAACCACGCCCCAGATGTTCTTTATGTTGTATATCGGGCAACTAAACTACAGTTGGAAACAGGCTAACCCAATAACATATCTTAAAGAACAGCATTAGTGGGGCGGAAAGTGAGGAATATAGGAGTAAAATTGTACTACATTTGGGGGCACTTATATCTGCAGTTGGGAATGGTCGCGTAGGATGTCATCGTATTGTTTTGCCTGTGCCCGACTCGTAGCCCAGTAACCAAGACAATTGAAGTGTTGTGCTAGTGTCTAAGCAAGGTGACGTTTGTTTCGTATCGTTTCAGATAGTAGCGGTCATATCAGTGTTTTTCATCGTCATCTCGATCCTGTCGTTCTGCCTAAAGACACACCCCAACATGCGAGTGCCTGTGATAGACAACGTCACTGTGACCGGTGTCAATAACACCGTGCATTGGACGCTGGACAAAAACCGCACCAACCCGCACAAGGCCTTCTTCTTCGTCGAGCTGGCCTGCAACATGTGGTTCACCTTCGAGATCATCATCCGCTTCATCGTCAGTCCCAACAAGCTCGACTTCATCAAGTCGCCGGTCAACATCATCGACTTTATCGCTACGCTCAGCTTCTACACGGACATGCTGACCGACTTCCTGCTGAACAAATTCAACAAGAACCTCACCAACACCAACGCCGACATCCTCGAGTTCTTCAGCATCATTCGCATCTTGCGGCTCTTCAAGCTGACCCGGCACTCGCCCGGACTGAAGATCCTCATCCACACGTTCAAAGCCAGTGCCAAAGAGCTGACTCTCCTCGTCTTCTTCCTCATACTCGGCATCGTCATCTTCGCGTCGCTGGTCTACTACGCCGAGCGGCTGCAGGCCAACCCGTACAATGACTTCAAGAGCATCCCGGAGGGCCTGTGGTGGGCGATTGTCACCATGACCACTGTCGGCTACGGCGACATGGTGCCCAAGACGTACGTGGGGATGCTGGTGGGCGCGCTGTGCGCCATCGCCGGCGTGCTCACCATCTCGCTGCCCGTGCCCGTCATCGTCTCCAACTTCTCCAACGTCTACTCGCACACGCAGGTAGGTGCTGCGGGGAGCGTCATGGTGATGACAAAATATTGGATGATGCTTCTATGTCATTTTTATAAGTAAATGCTCGATATTCTCAGAGCATGCCTCACCCAGAATATTCAGCTTATTCGTTCCACAGTCACTCTGACCAGCTGACTAGCCATGGCCAGCTTCCCAGTTCCCTCATCTACACGAGGTTAACGACGGCCTTCTAATGATGTGTGCACGGGGCATCGACTGAAAGCCGAGAGCGTTGAGGCATGCGATTCTGCATGAATGTCGCCCCTGTGCTCACAAGAATAAATGAGGTGTGTGTATAAGGAAACTAATGAACACTTGGACAAGTTATACTAAATAATAAATATCCCAGACAAGCGACAATGATCCTTCAGCACCACTTTTATATCATTACTCGATGCGTAACAAAGGTGAAGGCGCGGCGACTGAAAAACTTGCTTGTCTGTCACTAGTCCACATTGTTTAGTTCAGCATACCAATACAGAAATCATTTGTCTGTGGTCCGAAGACGTCTGCCAGGTGGACAACAAAAAAGGGCCACAGGGTGATTCAGTGAACGCCGTGCACATACCCTCTAAACTCTCGTCTCTCACCTTTCGCCCCGCTGGCCCTAATCCTGGCCGGGTCACCACCGTCGGGGCGCCCGGATAATTCATTAACGGCGCAGCTTGTCAACAGGGCCTGTTTGAGTTGCGATAGTGGCGGGGTTACGTCACACGCCGAGAGATTAGCCGGTATGGATCGGACGGCCGGCCAGGCGGGCGCCGTCACCTCCCGCCCGCGCTGAACTCTGGACCACCTCTTCTTGACTCGCGCTTATCCTACAGCTACTCAGTAATAGCCGTTTTCACGACGGCCATCTGAGTACACATTTGGTGCACATCTGGTACAGATTAGGTGCAGATTTGGTCAAATCAGGTTCAGTGTGGCCGTTTTCACGACGGAACTTTCGCGGTGCCATTTAAGCGATTTGACGGCCAAAATCGCCTGGATTAAAACTTTTAAAAATATAATTGAAGGCAAAAGACTTTAGTTGTAAGGATTCTAAGACCTTAAAGGGTTGGTACTTTCCAGGTATCAAATAGGTTCCACCGCGAAAGTTCCGTCGTGAAAACGGCCTGTGTCTCTTAGCGCGCTGGTAGGGTTGCACTAATTGCTTATGTGCCTGCTTTGTCATATTATCAGAGAGCATCATCGATTAAAACACTGAAATAAATTCATAAAACGAAGATATTTGCTGTAAAAGAAATTAGGTGCAGATTTGGTCAAATCAGGTGCATTCGCCGGATAGCCCGTCGTGAAACGGCTAATATGTTCTCCAGGCTTCAAAACTATTCTATAGCATTTCAGAACGAATTCTTTCAATGACCCGCCATAAGCCTGCTGAGATTATTTGATAGGCTCCGGCCTGACATAAAAATAGATGTTCATGAAAGGCCAGTCCTTAATCATTATGAGGCCAATAAATCTCCCGTTGGTTGCTATACTAGTGGGTGCTGATTTATTTAACTACCCACTATTCATTGCGCATCTGAGAGGAAAACCCTGTGAAATTTTACCCGCTACAGCATACGCCTTTGGACCAGAACCAATATGTGCCCTATCTTCATGAGGGACTGTTTACCCCATTATACGGTGTTAATGCAATGATGGTGGATGTAATTGAAGTGAAGGTTTATTACACTTTATCGCCTGGCCTCAACTTAATGTCAGTAGGGCAGTATAAAGTGCTGCTTCAATTAACCTTTTAAAGATAATGGCGCTGTATGAATTTCCACTCGTTTACACTTTCCAGTCAAAGTGCACAAAAATGCGTAGAAACTTTTGGAATTTCGCAGACAGGAGCTATCGCCTAAATAAACATGTCGAATAAAAGCAAACTTGCATCATTTTATCGAAAATAAATATATATGTAGTAGGAGCTAACATTATCATAGCTAATGCAAACTATTCAAGGGGAAAATTTAATCCCTTATAAGAACAGCTCCTCAATGTGCTCAGCAGCATTCAGAAAACCTGCACTTCACTGTATGTAGGTCGTTGTCGTCAACTGATGAAGCAAGAATCATGCTACCACTTATTTTTTTTTTCTCGTATCGTAAAAAAAAATCCTAGTCAACACGCTATGCAATCAAGCACTGAACCTATGTGTTGTGTCGTGAGATTTGTCCGTGCTACTTCATAGCTGAGACTTTATCTTGGGTTAGAGCTTGTATTGCGCAGTCAGTCGCACTACGTCGGACACACACCCTTTGACAACAACCAGCCATATATGGGCAACAGAGAGGCCCCGTGAAAAAGGAAGACAACAACTGGCACGTCCTCTAAAACACTGCAATAGCTAAAGTCCTGCCGGCCAGCTTGGTCAAGGCAAATACACAACACTCCTCCCCACTAAATTAAGCTCCAGCTTTTGAAATCACACGAAACCAATTTTTAGAAGCCAGCACACAGATCACATACATACATCTACATAAGCTTCGGCTACAGGTTGAGGCGTTTCACTGGTACCCGTGTCCGGGTGGAGCGCCTCAGCACCACTTCAGGCTCCGGCGCCGGCTGTCGGGTTGATAGCGGCGCTGGACGTCTGGGCGAGTCAGCGGCCTGTTCAGCAGCAGCTCCTTCGCGCACGGGCGTCGGCTCGCGTGCTGGTTCTTGTTGAGCTTCCGGGGGAGATGACAACGGTTCCTGCTCTGCAGACAGCGACTCAGGGCGGGCCGTCTCCGGAACAACGATTTCCCGTCGGATGCCTTCGTCGTCGTCTTCTTGCATAGCCGGACGCAGATGACGAGGAGACGCCATTGGGATTTTCAGCAACTGGTTGATGTGGCGCTTCCAGACCTGGTCATGTACCTGAACCAGGTAGTGCTTGGTCCCTACCACATCCATCACCTCTCCCTCCGCCCATTTTCCGCGACCGCGGTAGTCTCGGGCGAGGACCGCGTCACCGATGGCAACCTGTCGAGGTTGACCATGACGTCGCTCGACTTGCGTTTGCTGCTTGTTCTGGATTTGAGAGGTCAGATCAGGCTTCAGAAGATCTAGCCTCGTACGTAGCTGTCGTCCCAACATCAGTTCGGAGGGCGTTCTTCCTGTAGTAGCCTGTGGAGTGTTTCGGTACGCCATCAGGAAGTTTGGCAGGTTCATCTTCTTTCCACTTGTGGCCTTCAGGTAGCCCTTGAGACAGCCAACAGCTCGCTCTGCTGCTCCGTTCGTTGCGGGTTTGAACGGTGCGGTTCGGACATGCCGAATTCCATTCCGCTTCAAGAATCCTTCGAATTCCTTGCTCACGAGTTGCGGTCCATTGTCTGTGACGATTTGGTGAGGTAGGCCAAACCGTGCAAACACATTCAGGAGATACTCGATAGTCTTTTCTGATGTGATGTGCTTCATTGGAGCGATTTCCATCCACTTCGAGAAACTGTCGATGAGGACAACGTACAGCTTCCCATCAACTGGGCCAGCGAAATCCAGATGGATTCGCTGCCACGGACCCTTTGCAAACTCCCATGGATGCAGGTCCGTACATGGTGGTTCAGCTCTCTTTTGCCAGCATCCTTGGCATCTTCGCACTTCAGCTTCAACTTCTTTGTCCATGTTTGGCCACCAGACGTGCATCCTGGCCAGCTGCTTCATTCTGACCATTCCTTGATGACCTTCATGTAGTTCTTCAAGAACTCTTTCCCTCAGATTCGGTGGAACTACCACTCGACAGCCCCACATTAGGCATCCTTGCTCCACCGTCAGCTCTGTTTGTCTGACCTTGAACGCATGTAGAGCTTCTCCGACTTTGTCTGGCCATCCTTTGTTTACGAAGTTGACCACTTTTGCGAGCAGCGGGTCTCTTGTCGTCTCACGCTGGATCGCTGCAGCAGTGACTGGGTTGAGAGAACTCAACTGGCCAATCAGGCACACGGTGCATTCATCTTCTGGTGCACTTGAATTCATCACGGAGGTTCCTTTTGGTAGACGCGATAGCCAGTCTGCTACCGGTATCTGTTCAGACCTCCTGACTTCCACGGTGAAGTCGTACTCTGCCATTTTCATCGTCCATCTCTGAATTCGGCTTGCTGCTAACGTTGGCAGTGGCGTTTTGGGACCGATCACCTGAGCCAGTGGCTTGTTATCGGTCACGAGTTTGAAGTGACGTCCGTACAGAAACTGCTTCAGCCTTTCGAATGCCCAAACGATGCAGAGTCCTTCTTTTTCGATTTGTGAGTACTTCTTTTCATGTTCACTGAGTGATCTCAACACGTACAGCACAGGTCTTTCGGGAACACCCTGCACCAGGACTGCCCCCAGACCATGTGGACTGGCATCGGTGATGACAGTCACCTGTTCCTTCACGTCAAAGTGTCGGAGCACTTCAGCAGATGCCAGGCGGGCTTTGATTCTTGTGAAACTTTCTTCACATTCCTTTGACCACTTCCATTCTTTGTCCTTCTTCAGGAGTTCATTTAGTGGTTTCGCCATCTTCGACAGATTTTCCAGGAACTTGCTGTAAAACGTTACAGCTCCCAAGAACTCACGTAGTTCTCTTTGATTTGTTGGCGCATTTGCCTCCAGCACCGGCTTCACTCGCTCGGGATCAGGTCGGATTCCGTTTGCACCCAATCGCACTCCCAGATAGCGAACTTCCTTCGCCATGAACTGACACTTTTCCTTCTTGAGGCGCAGACCGTTTGTTTTCAGGATCTGCAGCACTTCATCCAGCCGCTTCAAGGCTTCTTCTTCAGTTTTTCCTGTGATGAGGATGTCGTCCAGCAGACATTTGACACCTGGTACTTTCTTCAAGATTCGGTCCATCGCTCTCTGAAATAGCATTGGAGCTGACGCGACTCCATAGGGGAGCCTCAGCATCCGTTTCAGTCCGAACGGCGTGTTCAGGTAGCACAGTTCCTGACTTTCTTTTGACAACTTCATTTGCAGATAGGCTTGCGACAGATCCACCACAGATATGAACTTCGCAGGTCCGATGGTTGCCAGCAAGTCTTCGGTCTTCGGCAGAGGATGCACCGGTACGTTCAGGTACTGGTTCAGCGTCACTTTGAAGTCGCCACAGAGGCGTACGCTTCCATCTGGTTTGGGCACCACAACCAGTGGTGTTGCCCACTTCGGCGTTGGTTCATCATCTCGGAGATCTTCGATTACTCCCAGCGTCTTCCATCTTTCCAACTCCTTTTCCACTGCATCAGTCAGACTGTAAGGTACTGACCTTGCTGGTTTGAAGACGGGCTCTGCGTCTTTCTTCAGTTCCAGATCAGCTTCCTGACCACTCATTGTTCCCAGTTCATCACTGAAGAGTTCTTCATGTTCCTTCAGCACTTCACTCAGCTTCTTCATCTTCTTTTGTGGTTCAGGTTTTTCTTTCACTTGACCAACCAGACTTGACCAGTTCAGCTTGATTTCATGCAGCCAGTTCCTTCCGAGGAGGCATGGACCATTTCCTCCCACTACATATACTGGCAGTTTCTTCATTTGACCTTCATACTGCACATCCACTTCTGTCATTCCTCTGACAGGTATTTCATGTCCTGTGTACGATGTGAGCTTACATCTGGTATTCTTCAAGTTGAGGCCTTCAGCCTGCGCTTCTGGAATCATGGTTACCGGACAGCCAGTGTCCACAATGAACGTAACGTTCTTCTCGTTGACAGCCATGTTCACTTTGATGGCTTCCTTCCCTTTTGATGTGCTTTGGTACACACACAGATTTTCTTCAACTTCATCATCTTGGTCTTCTTTTTCCACATTCAGCGTTTTTCCATTTCTGCACGCTGCTTTTAGATGTCCTTGTTTCCCACAGTTGTGGCATCTGACGTGGGGTGGTACCCTGCAGAACTTGATCAGGTGGTTCGTTTTCCCACACCTGAAGCAATGTCTCCTTTCAGTTTTCTCCAACTTCCACTTCCTGTTTTCTTCATTGTTTTCATTTTTCCATGTCTTCCCTTGACCATTTGCATTTTTCCATGGCCTCTTATCTTCATGGCTCTTTCTTTCATTTACATTCCATGGTTTCCTTCTTTCCTTCAGTGATTCATTTCTTTCTTTGTTCTGCCACTTCACCTTGTTCACTGCTTCTTCTTCTGCACTTTTTCCCATTCTTCTTACTTGTTCATTCACTGTTGCGTCAGTTGACCATATCATAATGGCACGTGATAGGGTCAGCACTCTTTCCTTGAGCATTGACTCCTTGACCTTGGAGGATGGGCACGTTGCTAAGAGCTTGTCCCTGATCAGATTGTCCATTTCCGAAGCTTCAAAATTGCATTTCCTTGCTTGCGTTTTCAGTTTAGCTACATACTCCTCTACCCTACCTCCTTCATATTGCATCATGTTGAAGACATGACGCTCCACCACCGTGTTCACTTGAGGCTTGAAATGCTTTTCCAATTGTGCTCTCAGTTTGACGTATGGGTCGGTTACATCAGCTATATCAGGCAGCGTATCAACAATTTCTTGTACATCCGGGCCAAGAAGATGCAGCACGATGTTCACTTTTTGAGCAGATGATTCAATATTTTGAGCACCCATGTAAATTTCAACTGATTTGATCCATTTACCAAAATCCTCACCTTTTTGCATACCCGGTGGCGGTGGCAGACTTGTAGCCATTTTAATTTCTTTTTGAGAGTTCAAATACGGAATTTAACCACTTTAACTTGTTTTTCTGGTTTCTTTTTCACTTTCTTTCCTTTTTAACAACTCCTTATATCTTCATTTGCATCGTAATTAAGCTTTTCTTTCCTTGCGACAATTGTTGCGCACTTGTGACATTCCTTTAATCTCCTTTTAGCTCTTATTCATTTTATCTCAGCTTGATCTCACTTTTTGATTTCTAGATCTCATCCTTGTCGCCAATTTTGTTGTGTCGTGAGATTTGTCCGTGCTACTTCATAGCTGAGACTTTATCTTGGGTTAGAGCTTGTATTGCGCAGTCAGTCGCACTACGTCGGACACACACACTTTGACAACAACCAGCCATATATGGGCAACAGAGAGGCCCCGTGAAAAAGGAAGACAACAACTGGCACGTCCTCTAAAACACTGCAATAGCTAAAGTCCTGCCGGCCAGCTTGGTCAAGGCAAATACACAACACTATGTGTTTTGCAAATCATTTCATCTGGTGGCATTCAAAGAGCTTCCTATATAGATCGTCGGTAGCCGTTGCGCGTCCTAATGAACGCCACGACCGGTGAGGCATTTCGGCAGGCTAACGGCCTGTTTACCAGAAACCCGAGACACACCGGCAGAATTAATGAGAAAAGCGAATGTCGGATACCAATAACAGAGGAAACACAATAGTTCAATTTAGTTCGTAGTTCGGCTTTTCCGAATTATCGATCTTTGAGGAAATTACAGTTTGTGTGAGAAGCGCAAGCTATCATGTCACACGGAATGCTCACGTTACCTATAAGTTTTATGTGTAATGCGTACCGTGTAAAGGGCATCGTGCACATTACCACAACTCCATGCTTGCGTCGAATGTCGATGCCCACAACGTAAGAATGTTTCCCGTCATGGAATGCCAGTTTACTCATGTTAACTTTACACGAGTCCTGTCAGTTCAAGCAAAATAGGCATCACATTTGAAGCTTTGTTTTGAGAAACCTCCCAGGCAGGCACGTTGGACAACTTTGGAAACAAAACTAATGCCTGCCTGGCTAATCCACACAGCACCGTAGCCCCCGGGCCGGCAGCTGTTTGCGGCCATTTGTGCTCGTGCTCACGCACCCGTCTGCGCCGCAGGCTCGCTCCAAGTTGCCGAAGAAGCGGCGGAGAGTGCTGCCGGCCGAGCACAGCCGCCGGGGACCGCGGCGGGAGCCGGGCGGCTTCCAGCGGCGGATGAACGCCATCAAACACCACCCCAACGCCAAGCAGCCACACCCCCTGCACCAGCTGAGTGAGTACAGCGTCGTCAAACACACCCACCAAACACCAAACACCACACAAACACCAAACACCCGCTCCACCAGCTGAGTGAGTACGAGTACAGCGTCATTAGCATGATAGCCGGGTCACAAGTGTTATCAACACAATTTTGTAACCTTCAGAATCATTCTGTAAAAGCGGCGGCTGAAACAGTCCCCAGTTTCCACCGGGCCGGCACCGCTCAGTTCGCCCCACCAAGGGCGAGGCTAGCCAAAGCTGTGATCTGAGTATGCATAATGCAGCGTTTATGTCTCGTCCGGCTGCCTCCAACTCTGGCGAAATAAATGTTCCAGCGATGGAACAATAAATCTGAAGCGTGATGGAACGACTTTTAAAATGTAGCCAAATCTTGGGCGTAAACGTCCGTTGTTTTAAATTGCTTGAGCGACATTGATTTATGAAAACGAAGCGAATTTATTACAAAAGCAGGTGTGCTTCAAGTGATACATTTTCAGCTGAACATAAATCTGGCACCGTTCTCTCAACAACAGTTCAAGGTCTTGGTTACTATGATAAACACCTGCAGACTACACCCGAGCGAGCCAGAATTCTTAACCGTATAAACAGTCTGCTTTTTTACCAGCCATTCTAACAAAACCACACTCTGACCGAACACGCTACCAAATGGATGAATTATGCAAACCAGGCGAGATTGTATACCTCACCAGAGTGGTGTGATTTACAGGGCACAAATCGCTGCCAGTTTCTGCAGCCGCTCAGCGTCCCGCTATCTGAAAAATAGTCAGCTTCCTGTGGCAGAAATAGTGTGTGTGTCGTTCACGCCTCTGGGTTTATTTTTACGTTAAATCAGGCTGTGAACACTATAGAGGAGACTGTTGTGTGGTACTGCACACTGACTGACAGAGCATATATGGCAATAATGAGCGCCGCAACTCCATCAAAGTGGAGAGAGGCAAGTCCTTTCTGGCGCTTTGCTACCTATTTGAGTCCGTACCACAGTAAATGAAAGAAATTCATCAACAGCAGTTTTTTAAGGTCACGGTGAAGATACATTGACCGAAAGTCGCCTCGATTGCAATATTGGTGGCAAAGGTTGGGTTAGATTACACTGACAATGACAACGGACTCGGGATTGACTCGGCAGCTCTTTTTGTCCGACCCGATATTGAATGGAGTGTTCTGTAGACCAAGATATGGCAGCGAATAATTCGACATTCGGTCTTATTATAGTGCTTCTTTTAAGCATAATGTCCAGTGGTTCCATTTTACCGATGAGCAGTCCAGAGACGAAAAACGTCGAATGCAAGTCAAATCAAATTGCGTCGGACGAAATCACTGCCATCCTTAACTACGCATCTTTAACGAGTTCCTTCGCGAAGCAATGCAGGTCCTTTCTCCGATACAAAGTTGGGTCTGTTTGCTCACCCACCCCTGGGAGTTGGCCGGTGACGAGGACCGACAACAGACCGGTGTCGAGGACCGACAACTTTGGCGCGAGGCACGACACGCCAGTCGAGAGGGTGTGTCGGAGCTGCGGACGACGATGTCATTTGGATGCCGGGCGATGCCCAGCGGTGGAGATACATGGGTGGGATGGCGCCCAGCTAGGTGGCTTTAAGCCGGAGCCAGTGATGAATGACACAATCACGGTCTGATCATCCCACCGCCACACATCAGCGCAGGTTGAGCGGACACGAACATGATGGTTATGCATTACGCAAGGATTATAACATCACATCCGGTTGTCATTTCGTGATTATCAAGGAGATATTGCATTCTCCTTAGTTCTGTTGGGTGAGACTTTGCGTAGATATTGCAGTTCTGTCCGTTGTTGTGTGCCATAAAATGCAGTGTACTTATTCTGAGAAAGATGAACGCCCTAATTCACGTCTGCTATTATTCATTCTGGAATTCATCAACACCGTGGTTAGCGTTTTAATTTACATGAACGCCCAGTTCGGACATCATAGCAGAGTTTTTTTTCTGCATAGGATTGTGATGATCTTTAACACCTAGGCTGAAAGAAAAACATTCATATATCATACTGTTTTCCATATTTTCCCCATTTTTTTCATAAATTGTCGAATTAATATAATGACAACCCTCTGTTAAGTACCAGATCCTATTCCTGTTACAACTTCTATCATTATTACTTCCCTTTGTTCAATATCGATTGCAATCACTCACCATACAGCATATAGCCCACTTACGAATGTAGTTGCTGGGTCCGACCATATGCCCCATTACTTTCACACAATTCGGACCATATGGTGCGGCGTCCTGCCCTCAGCTAGAAGTCGCCGCTGACTGCCCCACCGTTTGGCCCCGCTGACACTACAGAGGCGGTGACTCGGCCAGCGCGGACGGCCATGTCTCTTACTAGCTCAACTTCCAAATGGTCGCTGTCGCCGCCAAACCCGATTAAAGTCGGCCAGCGCGATCCTCTCTTCCGAGCAGAGTAGGTAGTGGACGCACAATAAACCACTAGGGGACTGGGCGAATTAAGCATCAGATACTGCCCCGTCGAGCGGATACTCACTCCGCAGACTGCCCCACTGATTCAACCCCGCCCCGGAGAACGTCCCGCTGAGAGAGAACTCGCCCCTAGACCCTTCCATTGACGAAACATTCACACTGAACCGAACCGTGCGCTGAGCCAAAATTTGCTCAGAGACCGCTGAACGAAGACCCGTTCGAGACAATGTCTACGGAGCGTGCGACGAAGATGGGGTTCTGGCCGAGCACCAAATGAGCACGCTCTAACCTCGCCCGAGCGCCGACCGAGCCCCGCTGGGCGCGAGCCGCGCGCGACACCGAACTAATTGAGTTCTCTGTCGTCTATATCCGTCGCGTCGGTGAAATTCAGCTGCGGCTGGTGGTGGGATGGCGGAGCGGGCTGGTTTATATCAGTGTCTGATGTGGGCCGGCGCTGGTTTGTTACCAGTTGATTACTATGCCAAACCCGCATCCAATATTTAGGCAACGCTCTGCCGCGGGCACTATCGGACGGAATTCAGGCTTCACGGATGGCTTCCGCGTTTTTATCGGACTGCGAATCTCTTGGTATACGAGGTTATATGGTATACTCGTAATAAAAATATACCATCAATAGAAGATGCCCACACGTTGTGAAGTGGTCGGTAGCACCAGTACGTGTATTTCAGAGTGACGGCCGGCATTCGGTGTTTGTTTTCAGACACTGTGAACGGCGTCGGCGGTGGCTCGGCGCTGAGCCCCGGTGCTTTCGCCCCGGGAGTCTCTCCAGCGGCCGGCGCGGCCGCCCCTCTCCAGGCCCGACCCCCGGCCACCCTGGGTATCATCCTCGGCGTCAGGAGACAAGGTGAGATGTCTACCCCGGTCGGTGTTTAAAGAACGCCACCACATGTACTCAAGAGACAAAGCAAGGTGTTTTCCATTGACCTGTAAGCAAACTGTTACACAGGAGCTATGAAGACAAAGAAGTGTTACTCCACTCAATGAAAATATTGACGCATTGCAAACGTTTAGAGACTAGAAAGTGTCTTTGGTCTGCGAAATTCCATAAGTGACGGTGAGATGTATGTGAAAAAGTGTCTGACCTTGGAGAGCATTAAACGAATTGGAGACCTGGATTACATTAGAGCCATCATAATATATGCCGCAAAGAAGCAGCCCACACACCAGCTGCGTTTATTTCAGACACAACAGACAACTACGCTCGCTCACATCCCCTCAAAGGCTTGTTTACTCGTTTATCTCCACAGATCCCATCTCAAAGAACCTCATCATTGTGTTCAGGTGGCTTACAAACTTGTTCCGTTGAAAGCTCTGGAAGCCTCATTTCCGCTGCGGAACATTGAGAGGCTCGCCAGAGCGGTTCAGCGGCCGGGTACCGCTCGCCGCGCTCTGACAGACGCCCCGGGCGGGCGGGCAGATAGACCAGACCACGCCACAGAGATGAAGAACACATCAAAGACGACACGACAATCAGGATGATCGACAAAAACCCGCAGCCGCGCCAGCCTCCGGACATAATTAATCGACAGGGCACCAATAGTCCTCGGAAAAGGCCGCCTGTGCTGGCTGCCATCACGATCCTCTGATCCAAAATCAATTCCGGCTTATTTGAAAAGAGCAGCTCTAATGGAAGGCTGAGTGATGACAGAGTACGCCGAAATATCCAGCTGAGGGTTTCAGTAAACAGCCATCGAATGCGACATTTCATAGGTAGAGGAATCTGGTAAGCAGCTTCAAACGCTTTCCACTATGGCCGCGTCGTCGTGCTTCCAATAGACATCAATTAATCAAATGTAAGCTTTTCTTTTTGCATTAGTTACGCGTCCATCGCAGAATGAATTTTTAGCCAATGTCCTACAACACCCTTTAATTGCCAAGACCATTCAAACGCATCATCAAAACTCAAAATCACTGATGATTAAATTCAGTGCTCACTGCTCCCACTCGCTGCTGCAGTGAAGAGCTTCTCGAGCTGCCGCTAGATGGCTTTGCGCGCGGGCGCCTGAATGATGCTGTTCCGGCGAGCGTGGTCGGTGTGGAGCGCCGCTGAGCGCGGCCGCTGCCGGGTCGATGGCGGATCAGAGCCTCGTGCTGTCGCAGACACGAGTATGTGGGCCGGGCGGTACCCCGCGGCCGTCTCTGGGGAGGATGGCGGTCGCGTCGCCTCTCGAGGGAGGCTTTCCGCGATATTGCGTATCTTGTAGATAGAACACGAGCACTTGCTGGCGTCCGCATCATCGTTTCCAAAGTTTTCTTGTTTGGAATATATTTCGGTATTTTGAAAAATTGCTTAATCCTCGGAAAAAGTTTTTGCCCTTTTCCGAAAACAAGTCACAATTTCCCAACTAGATTGAAATACGACATCTTCCAGCGCGACAATTCCAACACGACTTGTCGTGTTGGAAGATGTTGGAATTGTCGTGTTTATCTTCCAACACGACAAAGGTAAATACTTTACTGCATACAATAACGACAAACGTCGAGCACCTGGAATGGACATTATTCGTTCAATTGTCTTCAGATCTATTGCATTTCCCTCGTGTATCCCATGCGCGTCAGCCGACATCTGTACCGACTCCCCCGCGGTTCGGCCGCCGGGGAGCGTCCTGCCACCTCCGGGGCTCCTCCGGCCCGTCTCCGGCTGATCCCCAGCTCCGCAGCTCCCATGGGGCCGGCCTATATCGGGACGCGCGGCGCGAGCTCGGCCGGCGCCGCGGCGCGCTCCAGACGGCACGATCCTCTGTTTACAGTCAGCCCTGATGGCAGAGCTGAGGTAGCTGCCGGCTGCGAGCTGGCGCGGCTCGGCCGAGCTGCCGCTGGCCCCGGCTCAGATAAAGCCCCGCAGGAGCGCGCCGCCGGTCGGATTCCCAGAACGGCGCCGTTACTACGGAGAAGCGCCGCGGCCCGTCGCCTGTTTCATTCCCGCTGCAGAGTGTCCCGTCCGTGGGAATGTTTGCTCGCTGTCGGGATAGCAGCACGACACGGCTGCCACCCAGCCCAAAGCACATCTGTTCAGCTGCCCGCTTTAAAGTCGATCAAATAAAATCAGCCACCGATATCTTATTTGACACAACCACATTCCGGTTATATTGCATTGCCGAAATATTGCATTGCCATGTCCAATAAATACCGGCGGCCGTTCGACCCACGCCTGCTCTCTATTGTTCCAGGAGCTGGTCTGCTGGTGCCACCCGGCCAGCCGAGCTTGGCTCCGTCGATGCCGCCGATCGAGAGCCGGCCACCCCTGCCCGGGTCCCTGGCCGAGCCACGGCCGGCGGTGGCACCGGCGCCCGGTCCGGCCCGGCCGGCCGCGCCGCCGGCCCCGGTGGAGGGTCAGCCCGTGCAGCAGTCGCCGCCGTCTGCCGTCACCCCGCCGCCGCCGCTCACCGTGCCAGAGGTGCTCATCGAGACCCTGCCGTCCTGTCCCGACACGGTGAGCAGCGCGACCATTGTGCAGGGAGACGCCCAGCTGTCCGCCTCGTCAGCACGTCAGTCAGGCGACTTTATATGGGGGTGCTCGTCAACATGCACAGAATGAAAGGAACTTTGACAGTTTGTTTGCGTGTCACCACCGGTAAATGAAATGAGTGCTCCACCAACGAGCCAAATGACGCAAATGATCATAGCATCACACTAGCTTGGTTTAACACTACCTTGGTTAGTTCAGTTAGAAAAATACCTTTTTTATCAAAGCGAAGAAGAATTCGAGTAACAGATTTATTTGACGTTAATTTGTCGGTATCGGTAGACCTTTAGCCGCGTCGTTTTTAATTCTGCACACAGCCGAAGTTTGCAGAGTTGATTGGATGCATCCCTAAAGCCGAACCTCCCATCCAAACTTCGAGCGCAATCTGTCTGATTTGACAGGTTTAGTCAAAGATCGCCAACTTCCTCAACTTGAAAACGAGCGCCAGTGAGCAAATAAACTGGAATCCTGGAAGTATCAGCCAGTGATTTTATTCAATTTAGCCTGTTAAATATTTTCATTAGCAATTGACGAGTGAGCTTTCCAAATTATGTCAATATGACAGAAGCTTTCCATTGCGTAGAGACGTAAAGATTGCTTGTAAAAGATGTTGCGTGTGTAGGTACCACTTAAACGCTTCAAATTTCCAAAAGATGGATTGACTTCCATCTCTCACAAAATAACTTACCCTCTTTCAGTGTCCCAAAATTGTATTTTGGCTTGCGTGTCAGAGGGGAAATTCCTTTCCGAAAAGGGGATTAGAGTGGAAAATTGTTGGTCAGATAAGGCCCAAAAAGAATGGATAAGGGATCAAAAGCATACAATGATATATAAGGTTGGTAAAATGTAGGATGTTTAACGACCATCCATACAAGTTTTTTTTGGGGGGAATTGGGAGTGAAAAGTGCACTAAAAAATAAAAATATCGAAAGCAAAATGAGTTTTATTTGGAAGTCGTTCCTCATCCAAAACAACGCATTTTGGGACACTGCTCTTTCAAACTACTATGGAAGTATAGGCCCTATTTTTCACACTGATTGGAGTTAGCATAAATACAGTAAGATACCGCTATGCACGGCTTCAAAATTCAAGGCAAATGTATTTACGTGTTTGTGTGGAGATGAGTGAATGGTTCTATATGTTTACTGAGTGCCGTGATTTGGGTGCATTTTAACTTGTCTTTTCCCCTTTAAAGTCAGACGCGACACTAAGAAAAGCCATTTTAGTGTGTGGAGTGTTTTAATTGCCAATACAATGCAATACAATACAAAACAATACAATGCAATACAATTCAATATTATTAATGCTTAGGCTCACTCCAACTCCCAGAGCTAAATTCTCGCCTTTTTTAGATGCTATAAGGAGGGGTGTAAAGTTGATAATGAGCGCAAATAAACACTAATGAGCGCATGCCGACCGACTGCACTCGCTAATTGCGGGCACAGCTCTAAGTTCCCCGCGCCACCGGTAACTTGCCGTACAATTACCTGTTTAACCCTCGCCCTGCGAGGGGGTTGATGCACCCCCCCCCCTCAGGATTTTCGCGAATAACGTAAAACGCGGCGCGAAGCGCCGCCAAATTTGGAATGCCCTCTTTTGATCAGCATCTGACAGATAGGAAGGTCACATAAATGCAACTGTATTACAATGCTGCATAATTATAGAACTGTTTGCACTCTATTATTGTGCACAAACACGTTTTACGCTTCAAGAGTTCCTAGCATTGCTCAGAACTACGAGATAACAAGGGCCGCTTCTGAAGCGAGCACACTCTGTTTCTAATGGGCGTATTTGTGGTGCAACTACCACCCACCTCAAAGTATCGGATTCTTCGAATGGCCTCATCCGTAAGTGCTTCTAGGTCGGTAATTAGTTTAAAGCGACCTCAATAACGTTGCACTCGTTATCGGCTTGTAGCGCTCGCGCCTCGCACGCTGTCCCGGACAAGGGCCGCGTTATGATCGTTTTAGGGAAGTATCGAGCCTTGATGGGGGAGCTGCCTGAAACCTACTAACTAGTAAAGTTGAACGAGGGTTGTGGGCTATAAAACGATGACTAATTGGTAGGAATACTTAAATCATTTAACATTATCCTCTGGTACGATCATCTTCAAAAAATAGTAACAAGAGTAAATGCAAATTCATGTCGAGTTTTCAGAACATTCCAACAGATAACAATCGAAAGTATAACAACCGCACCCGGGTCGGGTGGTCTCGCGTCGTTTCACTTTCACCTGTCAGGTCCAGCTCGCCGCAGCTCCGGGTGTAATCGCGCCACTGCACAGAGCTCTGCAGGCCGAGCCAGTCCCGGTCTGGAGCCGGGATAGCCTCGAACCGCGCCCCGGGGAACGCAACGAGACCGGAGCGAGAGGCAATTCGCAGGCGCGGCACGCAGGGGAACTCATTGCCTCGGGCGGCCCGCGCGACGCTGCATTGCACCAGATGAAAATACGAGCAGTGTAGCTCGGTCTCCATTGCGTGACTGGTATTATATGTAGTAGCAATGGTCTCACGAGTTCGCCAAGCGGTGACGTCACAGATGAGAAAGCCAGAATAAATCTTGCTATACTTTTTATTTGACGGCTATTCTGTGGATGTGGTGTGAATAAGCTTAGGGTCATTTTACTCGAGTACTTGTAAGTGCTGTAAAACGCACATTTTTGTGATTTATCCAGTAGCTCGATGGGAATGAATCGTTCTGCATGTATGACATTTGGCTAATGTTCCCACCCTGTGGCAGCTGTTCCTAGCCGACTGGGCAGGGCGGCATCGCGCTCAGCGCTATCTCAGCCCGCTGCCAGCCGTCGCTGCCGCTGTCAGCGCTTTACAAGGGCCGTCACCGCCAGACGAGACAGTTTTACAAGACCAGTCTGCCAGCCGACGCGATTAGCAAACAAATAAAATGTAGATTAGCCCCTTGGCTCCAAGAGCCGAGCGGAAGATGCAATCTCTATCTGCTCGACAAACATAAGACGGATAAAGCAACGGATAAAGTTCCTCAATTACTTGGAATGAGGCTTTTGACTAAGGTCATTTCCCTAAACGTCATATGGTTCCAAGACAAGAGTTTTGCTTCGATGAGCACAGTCGGTTAACTATGAATGGTTGATGTTTATGCAACCATGATTGCCCAGAGCATTGGGTATACAGACACTGAATTTCCTTCTTATCTGGTAAATAAATTAAGACATGTTTTTTTCAAAGATACGCTCACTTTACGGGCATTGTAAACAACGATCGTAAATCCAAGTCCACAATTTAAGCAATTACGTAATACTAAAAAATAACGTCAAACTGAAGTAAACAACTAAATTAATTGTACGGCAAGCATTTGATGAAAATATTACATCATTTCTTGGAGCTCTCAACAGCAGGGTCACTCCAATCATATCGCCATAATAGGGTGTCGCAGTGCTCCATTCCGACCGCCGCCGGTCGGCTGACCCTGGCTGGCTTGGTAGCCCTCCCAGTCGGCCCGCGCCGGAGCGACGCAGGCGGCTGTGTCCCACGGAGCTCGGGCGGCATATGCGTCGGCCGGGACGGTCGCGCCTCTGCATCGATTGCGTGCCCGAGCGGCCGTCTCTGCCGATACTTCCGAGCTGCTGAACGGGCCCTGTCGTGCGTCCGCCGCGGTGCTGACTTTGCACTGCTCGCAGGCAGATATCCAGTCCAATTACTTGTACACCCTTCTTTCTTCCCAACGAGAAACGCCGGGACATCCCATCGGAAAACGCAAGGTCGCCGTCCGTTCGAGGACCGCGCTGAGTCTGAGCGCTGAGTTGCGCTGAGTCTGAGACCATCGTTCACTCAATATACCCCGGTCGCGTCAACCTCCGCCGGTCTGCCCATTCCATCCCATCTCGCCGCCAGACAGCCGTCCGGCCGCCGCTCGGAAGCCGCTCAGCTTTGAATGGCGGCTTCCACACCGCGCACAGACCGACCGGAGACTCCGGAACGCTCACTGATTCCATCCAACGGCTGATTGCATTTCGCGCGCCGGCGCCGCACGTTGGAGCGGCGGCTGGCCGACCGAATGGTATCGGTCCGAGTGGCGGCGCCGGACGCTCAGAAAAACGTCCCATCCTGCACTGAGCCGGCGCGCCCGTGGTTAGGACGATGGATCGAGAGGCGGCGACCCGGGATATTGGCGGGGCGAGTGGCTGTCGCGCGACCGAGGCCACCCGGGAACGCTGCCGGCTCCACAGAGATCGAGCAAAAACATGTCACGAATTGCGCCGTACGAAAATCCATCAAAGTTTTTGATAGAGATAATGGAGTATTGGCTCCATTGAGTAGGTATGGCGTTCAGCGTAATTATTTTTCCTGTGCTTCTATTACTGGTTCATTACAAGGCAAGAGTCTCTATGAGCACTGATTTAGGTATCCACACTGTTATCTGATCTGTGCATTGTGCATGTTCCTCGCATCATCAAATATTCATAACGAACTTCAGGATTTTAACAAATTTTAACTTTCTATGAGCAAGCATTGGTATTAAAACTCATTGGAGAGTGTTGGGAACACTAAGTCAGATTTCAAAGGAGCATAAATTAAGATTACCAGGAACATATTTTGGATATGCTTTACCACAGCTCATATATCAAGCGTGTTTTAATTTAAATAAATATGGTAGGCCTACAGAGCCTACAAGACAGTCTTGATGAAATGAGAAGTTCCCGAAGGCCTGGGGAGTGGGAAGACATCCATCCAAAAGAAGGGGTCGTTGCCCTATGTCCACTAAAGGGTGATGGACAGAGGGGAAACTGTCTGTCTAGACGAGAGGCGGGAAGGCTGCCCCGGTCTGTTAGGATGACGGCACCGGCTGCCCTCTGTCCATTGGGTGCCGCAAGGGTTGCCGGTTAGGGGTCCCTCCGTTTCTCAGAATGGTGGGTCGGCTGCCCCTGTCTGTCAGGACAGCGGGGGCGGCTGCCCTCTGTTCATTGGGTGCCGCAGGGGTGGGGGGCCGCTCCATCCGGCGGGCCGGCCGTCGGCCGTCGGCCGGACCTCCCCTTTGATAGCCGGCGGCCCGGCACGACCCGCTGCTGAGGCTGCCGGCCGCGCCCACAATGGCCCGCTAAGGGTGAAAGGAAGCGGCGCCGCCCGGCCGGACGGAAGGCGCGATCCTGGCCGGAGCCGGCGCCTCTTTGTGGCCCGGCTATCACGCCCCTCGGACGGGTGTCGCAGAGACAAACGGCCATTGTGCGGCACCGGCGGCGCGACGCGAGCATCGGCGGCTCCTCTGAGCAGCCGGCCCTATACTCGTATACCGCGGCCGCCGCGCCGCCGCCGCCGTATATAAAGTAGCCAGATGCGTCACTGTATTTCAGCGCGCACAAGACAGATCGGCACCGCGGAATGCCGTCGGCGCGCTCATGTGGAGGCCAAACGAGATGGAGCGTCCACCACGTGGTGTGTGCCACACAATGTGTACGGTGTTCGATCAGGAACGGAACGTACGGCTGAGTAATGGAGCAAGAAGCGATCCTATCTGGATGAAATGCACTGTTAGGAGCCCATAAAATGTCAAAATAGCACCATACGTGGTGGTGGCTCGATGCATTCATCTTATCACCTAACCCTCGCCCTGGCAGGGCATTTTTCATAACACGGCCTGGCAGGGGGGTCGATGCACCCCCCCCCCGCGATTGGCTCCTATGGCACCTAGAAACACCAAATTTGGTAGGTAGGTGAACCCCCTGGAGTTCTCGCCCCTGTGCAAATTTGGTTGCTCTAGGTCAATATTTAGGGGGGTTTTGGGGGGTATAAATGTAAAAAATTCGCTAAAAACAGGTCAAAAGCTTTTCGCTTTTAACTTTTGATCTAATTAAGATAGCGCGAAAAGAAAAGCACCAGTGAACTCAGCACGTCAAGGCGCGTCAAATGACATGCTTGTTAGCCTGCTTAAGTGTACTTAAAGTTTTTCTTAAATTTTAAGTAAACTTAATTTAATAAATTAAGTTCAAGTTAACCAAATTGCATCATATCGCATATCATTCGATTTGGCTGATCACTAGGAACACAATGATACCATTTTTTAAGCTCTAGCGTCAATATGTGCCAAGTTATTGGCAAAAACGTCATTTGACCTCAGTTGACCTCATTTGACCTGACCCATGGATAAGTACACCAAACAAAGAAGCACCAAGTGACCTGCTGTTAAGTACTGTGGTTTCAAAGCACAAAAGTGATAGAACGAAGCGGATATCTCCAGTATTTTCCGAATTTAGTATTTTCCCATAGGCTTAACATTACGACGTAATGACCTCTAACTGACCTCAGGTCAGTGACCTAAAAAAACCCGAACTATATGTTATGTAACCTGGTGAACTTAGCACATCCTGAAAGTTTGAAGGAAATCAGTCCAAAACTGTGAGTTGGACAGGTGCAAAAAGAAAATTGAAATTTGACCATGATCTTGTACCGGTTTTTCTGACCTGGTGACCTGACCCAAGGTCACCCGGACCTGAAATTTTCAGGTCATATGTAAAAAGGTTGCCCCATAGGCTGTGCCAAATTTGCGCCGCGCCGCGCGCTGCCAGGGCGAGGGCTAAGAACAATTATTTTTATTTTGCAATGCCCTTGACATCTGTAATGTCAGCTGTGCTTTAGAAAACATAAAAGTTAAAAAGGTAGGTAAATGAACTAAATCAAATGAGTAAATGAACTAAAACAGATTCAATCTCCAACAAGAAGCTCGGACATTGTGTTATTGCAAAAGTTATGATATGGTTTCCAGCTTAAGGCTGATGTCCGATGCTTTCTTCAAAGATAGAGCGAACCTGCACCGACGCCAAGAAGATAACTTTTCCTATGACCTTTATTCATAAAACGTCAATATTAGATACGCCTGCTGAAGCCCGGAACAAATTCCCAACTCAAGTCGACAATTCCTATTCCACCTGCAGTAAATAGACTCATTGGAAGCATTGTGACGGTGAACTCGTGTTATGTAATGCGTGTGGTGCTTGGGAGCTGCGCCAATGCGCCATCCATAGCGCAGGCCATGCGGTACAGCATGTCTGCAGGCGCTAACAGCCAGCGCCATCTGTTGACGAGTATGTAAAGCTCTCCTCAGGGTAGTGCTATGCGGTACAGCATACCATGTCAGGCGACTACTTCTAGCGACGTCTAGGAGCGGGAGGCACAACCTCCTGACCATAAAGCATGTTGGCAAATTCTAAATGCTTCCGATTGACCTATCCCACTGTCTAATTTAGGCAGTCTCCTGCCTAATGTAGGCAGCCATGCATGTTTGACTGTCCAGGACAAATACGTAGTGCTTGGCGAGATGACAGCATAAACAATCAAAAACTTGTCTGGATCCGGAGGAACGAAACCATCCATCCGAGCCTACGCCATGTTTATCCATCAACGACGCTTCCCAACCATCCCAGTAATGTGTTTGTCAAGCCAGTTCCTCGTTGAACTCTCGACTGCCGCGAAATGACATCCTGCGAGCGGACGAAGCGGCACGGCAGTCATTGAACTCTCCTAATGGCCAAGTGGTGCTCTGTCAACTGAGACCGATCAGGACGTCCCCAGTTGGCCAAATGTTACCACCGAGCGGCCCACTCTCCGCAGATTGGCGTCGAAACTCCGCTGCTGCCCATATCAGACGACGGACCGGTGATTGGGGGCGACGGCAGCGCCCCCAGCGCCGCGGCGGCGACCGCGGCAACTACCGCGGCCGATGTCATCGTCGAGTGCGACGCCACGCCGCCGCCGGAGAGAGCGGAGGAGCGGAGAGAGGAGGAGAGCGGCGGCTGGCCGGCGGTGACCTGCCGCCCGGAGGCCACCACCGGCGACGGTGTCGACGAAATTCTCACCGCCGACGAGAGTACGAGACTCATCTGCGATGAGCGCAAGTTCGATCGAAATGACGACAACGACAATCCGCTAGTAACGGCAGGTGGGTAAATCAAAATGAGCTTTTTTTGAGTCACATGTTGTTAAAATAAACGAAAGCTGTTTCCACGACGGGTTATCCGGCGTATACACCTAATTTGACGAGATCTGCACCAAATCTCTTTTACAGCAAATAGTTATCTTCATATTGTGGAGCACATAAATTAGAATTAAAATAGCATTGCATTCCTTTGTGTCTACCTCTTTGCCTTTCCTTTACGGATAGATAACCTTCACAATATAGCTGGCTGGAAATGGCAGTTAATAGCAGCATTTCCGCTCTATCAATTGGAGCAATTCGCAATCAAAGCCGGACGGAGGTCGATAAATGGAGGGTAGATCAGGTGAGCTTATAAATCTGACCTTGCGTCCGCAGCATGAACACGGTAACTCCGCAAGTACCTATCCGAATTAAGTATATCAAGCGTGAAGCATGACTGGTCACCAGGCCCTGGTCGTTTTATTTCCTCGAGACGACTGTTCCTCGAGACCGAATTAAGTATATCAAGCTTCAGCTTGAACCATGACTGGTCACCAGGTCTTTTTATTTCCTCAAGACGACTGTTTAAAAAGCTGAAACCGACTGCACTTTATTATTTTAAAAAAGTCAATCAAGAATCAGGATAAAAGTAAATTCATATTGCGTTCGCTATCTACGAAAGACATTTGGGACGGTACGGTACCGTAGTAAACGTCGCACTGACTGCTAGCTGACTGCATCGCAAGGATGAAGGACGTGTAACCCGCGGCGAACCGAATAAACTACATATATTCTATCCAGGCAGGTACTGTTCCCACATCTAACTCATAAGGACATAAATAGATAAATAGCATGGCGATCGAGAGTAATAAAACACACTGACCTTGATCTGGTAATCCATCCGGCTGCGAAGAACAGAAAACTGCTGCTCCTTGCCACGGTTGCAATCTGAATCCTTCGCTGCAAATTAGGCTGTAGCTCAGTGTTCACTGTCATGACTCCAATGAGCTCACTTCCTCAGGAGCAGAGCCGTCGTCCATCGGAACACCGTACGGGCGTCACTCTTGGAGAGAAAACGGTGTCCGGACAAATTGCCGAAAGGCGATTTACCGAATGTCATTTTGCCGAATGCATTTCGCCGAATGTCATTTTGCCGATGTGCTTTTTGCCGACGTGTCAAAAAATCGAAATGCTAAAAGTCGAAATGCCATTTGCCGACATGCCTTTTTGCCGAAATGCCAATTTGCCGAAATGCTTATAAGTCGAAATGAAAATTTGCCGAAATGCGATTTGCCGAAATGTCGATTAGTCGAAATGTCAATTAGTCGAAATGTAAATATGCCGAAATGTTAATTTGCCGAAATGTAAATTTGCCGAAATGACAATTTGCCGAAATGTCAATTTGCCGAAATGTCAACTTGCCGAAATGTGAATTTGCCGAAATGTCAATTTGCCGAAATGTCAATTTGCCGAAATGTGAATTTGCCGAAATGTCAATCTGCCGAATTGGCAGTTTGCCGAAATGTCAATAAGTTGAAATATAACTTGACCGAAATGTCAATCTGCAAACCTAGGTTAGGTTAGGTTAGGTTAGGTGGTGTTTATTTACTTAGGACCTATCACCAGTTTGGTGCAATCCCCAAGAAAGAAGCAAATCACATGATATCCTTTGACCTCCTGATTTCATAACTAATAATTATTCATGGCACAAGCAAGTTTAAAAGCACCAATACCATGTGGAAATAAACATCAAATTGCTCGTGGCGAAGCAGTGCAGTGCCGAAGGCAATGCCTTAGGAGAGATTACAGGCAAAGGTAAGTCAAATATTTTTAGGTTAACCCTCGCCGGCCGAGGGGGAGGGGTGCATGTGCCGCACCCTATAGGGTTTTTTTCGCGATAGCTCCGAACACGCTGGCGATAGAGAGCTGAAACTTGGCATAGCTGACCTTTGATTCAAGCCGGATCTTTTTACACCAACCGCATTTTCGGGTCAGGTTAGGCCACCGACCTATGACGTCATAAGTGAACCTCTGCACGGTCTTCAGATGTCGCAACTTTGCAACGCCCTCACGGCCAGAGGAGCTTTCACAGGGAAATGAAACTTGCAGGACCTAATATCAATTACGAGTCTCACAGCTTGTATATCTCAGATTTTCCTAAAGGTTATTTGAGGTCAGGTCATTTTCGTGACCTCGTTATAATGCATTATAAGTCAAGAAGAAAAATGAATGGAAACTGCTATTCTGGCGCCGGGAACGACCTCTAACTATCTCAAGCACACAGAATCGTGATTTGTTGACGCACTCCTTGCAAGGTTAGATGCGTAACTTTTGCAATGTTGACCTTGCGTGACGTCATTTATGACGTCATCAAGGTCATATTAGTTTTTCATCAATAACTCCCGATCTAATTGAGCTAGCGAGTCGGGAAAGCCACCAATGGACTCAGGAAGACCTGCCGAATCGAATGATATGCGACATGACCTCTTTCCACAAGCTTGATGACCTGGGGTGCTGACCTGACCGTGACCTGAGGTCAACACCCTAAGTTGACCTGACCCAAACAAAAATTATATCATTTGACGCGCCTAAGCAAGGCAAATACGATGCTGCCAAAATCGCGGCCCTGCGGCCCTTTGTGGCGAAGTTATTCGCCAAAAACTGAACCGTATCTTGGGGCACTTGACCTGACCTCAGAGGTCACCAGTTGACGTAGGACCTTAAAATCGGGTATCAATCTCTGCGTCTCGTAACGGCGCACACGCTCGTTTTTTTCCGCGACGCGCCAGCTCCACCAGGGGCGAAACGACTAATAAGCATTTCGCAAATTGGCATTTCGGCAAAAAGGCATGTCGGCAAAATGACATTCGGCAAAATACATTCGGCAAAATGACATTCGGCAAATCGCCTTTCAGCAATTACCACCTCGGCCGGCGCGTATGTTAAAAACCAATAGGTCCGGTGAGGGTTAAATTGTTGTGTATCTGGCTTCAGGCCGAGGGCCTGAAGCCTGGTGCACAACCACTTAACCTAAAAATAATTGACTTATCATTGTTTGCAATCTATTCATGTGAGTATCTTATTCCTTATCCACGGGTAGGCAAAAATCAGTAGGTCAGGTTAGGTAAGGTTTGGTTATGTTTTTCTTATACTTTGGTGACATGTAAGTGGGTTTCTTTACCTTTGAAAAGCGAGTCGGTCCTAAAGTTAATACTTACGGGTCAGGTTAGGTTAGGTTAGGTTAGGTTAGGTTAATTTCGGCTAATTGGCACTTCGGCAAATTTACATTTCGACTAATTAGCATTTCGGCAAATTACCATTTCGGCGAATTGACATTTCGACTAATTGACTTTTCGGCAAATTGACATTTCGGCAAATTACATTTCGACTAATTAGCATTTCGGCAAATTAGCATTTCGACGAATTGACATTTCGACTAATTGACTTTTCGGCAAATTGACATTTCGGCAAATTGACATTTTCGACTTATTGCATGTCGGCAAAAAGGCATGTCGGCAAATTGCATTTCGACTTTTAGCTCTTCGCCCTTTTGACACGTCGGCAAAAAGACACGTCGGCAAAATGCATTCGACATATTGACATTCGGCGAATAAGCATTCGGCAAAATGCAGTTCGGCAAATTGTCCTGTAACCAGAGAAAACACCCATTTTCACTAGCAGTGCTTAAGCCCAACTTGAAAAAGGCGTCACTCTAAGAGAGAAAATATCAATTTTCACTGGCAGTGCTAAGAAGCCCAAACTGAAATTAAAATTGAAAATGAAATTGAATACCTACACTTCAGCTTTCTTCGGCTGAGAAGCGAGCAGTCCACCTCACCGACTTCAACCGTGTCCGTATCCTACGAGTTTTACCACAATAATGTTTGGCACGTTGTCACCTTTTCACGTCTTTCACTCAACTCGCACCACGTTGACGTTGCACTATGCCCTTGCACTATGCCACGTTTCCGAGACACGCCACACTGCGCGCCCGATCGCGGCCTCAGGCAGAGCGGACGGCTGCTTCGCCTCCGGGCATGGTCACGTGACAGTCTGGGCGGTAGGGGGGGGGGGCACGGAAGACGACGCGGCCCACAGAGGCGGTGTCCGGTGACAGCCATAAAAGTGTGGGGCAGGGGGATGTCGTCCCGGTTCTTCCCATGTATTATTCGCCAATCAGCTTAACACTACCGGTGACGTCACTGGAGGACCGCCAATCGGGGCCGGTGCGGCCGGCCGGCCGGCCGGGCCCGTAGAACGCCAAACGCAGACGTTTTCAGAAAAGCGTAAGCCGTATAGATACAGGGTGGCGCCGGTAAATAACCACAAATTTCAAACCTGTGTTACGAGGAAACTATTTAGTGCAAAGCAATAATTTTTTGCATTCATGTGCCATGCTTTATGTAAATTGTTGTCCATAGCAAAAGGGAACGTTGCAGCTGAAGATGATAGCGGAAGAAATGAAAAGGCACGCGGTCATTGTGGCGCTTCACGCCGGCAGCGAGGCACCCCAGGTCGCCAACTTCCTCAGGGTCTACAGAAGCCATGATTATAAAGTCGAGCGGATCTTGGATGAGTCTGTGGGCGACGTTCCGTCTGTGGCAAAGCGGAAGAAACATCCCCGACGATCTGATGCCGTCAGAGACGACGATTTCATTGCAAAAGCCGAGAACATCGTCGACGACGACCCGACGTCGACGTCACCGTCGATGACGGTGACGTCGTGAAGCCCTGGATCTACCGAGTGGCTGAGGAAGGCCCTATGTGTTCCAACAAGACTCTGCACCCGCTCTCAGGCCAGGGTGACGCAGGAGTGGATGAGCGCCAACCTGCACAGCCACATCACGCCCGAGCTCTGGCCGCCAAACTCCCCGGACCTGAACCCGCTCGACTATTACGTGTGGGGCGTAGTCGAGAGGGACACTAACAAACACCCACACAACAATATTGACTCTATGAAGTCAGCCATCAAGCAGATGATGGTCAAGATGGACAAGACCATGCTGACCAAGGCCTGCGCCCGGTTCAGGCCGCGCATCGAGGCCGTCATCGACGCGGAGGGGGATTCATCGAGTGAAGTCTGCTCGACAGGTCGCCATCAGTCACCCCAGTTCCAAGCTTCCATCCAATGCACTGACTTTTGTCAAAAAATTAATGTTTTGTGTGGAGCACATATTGTCTTCATTTATCGGCGCCACCCTGTACAGTCGTGGACATGGGTGGAGCTTTTCCAGGGAAGTTGGTGGGGCAAAAAGTCGTCAAACCCACAATGTCCGATTATAAAGTTGAATAAAATGCCACACTGAATCAATTCCTATCATTACAGACATATTATTTTGCATCAAACAGACATTCCAAAGCCATTCAATGCGAAAAAAGATTAATTTGCAAAGCAACAAAGTCTTAGAAATCAGCTAAAGACGCTAAAGTTGGTGGGGCAAAACGCTTATTGGTGGGGCAAAATACCAAGTTGGTGGGGCAGCCGCCCCGCCAACTGTATAGGAAGCTCCGCCCCTGGTCGTGGATGGATTTTTGCTGTGATTCGGCTCTCCAAGAGTGCGTCAGGGTACCAGGACCCGGACAAAGGTCATGGTGAACCGGCATCTGATAAGATCCGCTCACCACTTAGCAGCCGACTTCGACCCTTCACTCTCGTAAAACACAAAAGCTTGCCGGTCATCAATCCACCTGCATCTCTGCATCTGCTTACTACCTATATCGACTAGTTACTGCAGCCGTTTTGGAGCGGCTCACGGCCGATAACACACCGGACGTGCGCTAGCCGTCGGTGCTAAGCGCTAACCATTGAGTGCGCGTGGCCGACTGCCGCCCCGATGGCGCTGGCCCCCGGCACCGGCGCGGCGCTGCTGACCCATGGGGGGGGGGACTGCTAATTAGTTGAGCCGGAATTGGGATAGAAGCCGGTATGGGATTGGGATAGAAGCTCAGCGAGACTAAGGGATTGTGTGATGCCTTCGGTAGGCCCCTCAAAATCACCTGTGTAGGGCCCTCAGGGCCGCCGGTTATGAAGCCTTTGGAGGCACTGGTGTGGGCCCTCACAGGTACCGGTGTGAGGCTCTCAGATGCATTGGTGCGGGGTCCCCAGAGTTGCCACTGTGGGCCCTTAGAGGCGCCGGTGAGGGTCCTCACAGTTGCCGTTGTTGGCCCTCAGAGACACTGCAGTGTGGGGTTGTCACAGTCGGGTGCGGGACCCTTAGAGCTGCTGGCTCGAACCCTTTACAGGCCGACAGGGGCTCTCAAGAGGTCTGCGGTGCCTTTGGGAGCCCTGTGGAGTCCTTAGAGACCAGCAAGATACATTCAAACGCCAGTGGGGCCCTCAGAGTCGTCGGTGTGGGGCCTTCAAAAGTCACCGGTGAGTGGCCGTCCGATGCGCAGGTCCCGTCTGAGGCCGTCAGAGGCTCCGGCGTTGAGCCCCCAGAGCCGCCGATAAGAAGCACTGGTTTCGGGACCTCATTCAAGGGTGCCGGTCGCACTCAGAGGTGGCAGTGTGGGGCCCTCAGCTAGGCACCGGTGTGAGGCCTTCACAGCCGCCGGTGAGGGCCCTCGCAGGCGCCGTTGTGGGGGCCTTCAACCATTGGTTTAGGGGGTCATCGCAGGCGTTTGTGGAACCCTTAGAGCTGCTGGTCCCTGATAGGCCGGTAAGGGCCCTCAGAGGCCGGCAAGTAGCCCTCAGAGGTCGCCAATAGGCCCTGAGAAGCCGGCAAGGGGCCCTCAAAGGCCGACAAGGGACACTAAAAAGCCGGTGTGGGGCTCTTATGGATAGAAGTGTGGCTCTTCGGAGCACATAAGGTGTTCTTCAGAGCCCTGTGCGGCCCTTCTGAGTCGAAAGATGCCAGCGTAGACCCTCAGCCGCCAATTGGCGTCGCAAGGCCCCTCGGGCCCGAGAGGCCCCCTGATCCGATGGGGGCATGTGCCCCCTGCTCCCCCCGATGCAGATAGAGAATGCAATCGGCGGTGCGGGCACAACAATTGCAATTGTTCCTTCTCCCGTCGCGAGGTCGCCCATCCGACCCATATCCCATGATTTGTCAACCCTGGGGCTCGGGTCGGCAATGTACCGGCAAGGAAATCAGCTTTAGTTGAGTAAAAAAGTTATTAAAGGTAGACTGCCACCTTTTTTTCACAAAACGGTTTTCACTAGAGCTGAGCCACCTATGTCCCAGACTGAAGTCGGTTTTCCGAAATTCGAACCCGTTTGCGAGAAATCGGAGACCAAAGTTCAGTTTGATGCCATTTTTTTAGTCCAAGAAAACCGACATCTCTACTGTTTATCGATAACTTTGAAACATGAATTTTCTTATCTTTTGGCAAATATATGTCAAAACTTTGATTGTTTCGAGATCAGAGAAGAATTTTGGAGTGTCAAAATAAAAGTTAAACTTATATATTCAGTAGTTCATTTTTTCCAAAAAAGTGTGGGAAATGGGGTTTAACATGGGCCAGACCCATTCCAAATGAGCCATGATTTTTAAATGTTTTACGAAGTTAAATGCAAAAAAAAATTAAACATGGCCAATTTCTTATGAAATCATATATTAGTAAATCATAAAATACCTTACTTTTTCAAATAAAATGTAATAATCTTATGACCTTGAAGTCTAGTGATGTGTAAACATTGTCGCTAGACATCAACCGATTGATAATTGTATGATAATCGATAATTTTTTTCGCGATTCACGTGATGATACTTTGTCAGGTGAATTCTAAAATTTTGTTTTATCCAGGGAATAAATCATAGGCCGATCTGAGAAAACTTTTTGAAGGTGGCAGTCTTCCTTTAAGAGTCATAAGTTGTCATTACGTTCAGTAATAACAACTATACGGTGCCAAATGTACCCGACGTACAGCTTGGAGCCGGGCGCCGCCCGGTCTCCACCAGTGACGTCACGCTAATGCTTAGCGACCGGTCCATTGGAAATCGCGGGATGATTCTACCTCTCTTATACGGCCTTGGTGTGGGGAGGGGAGGGGTGACGTGGTAGAGCTGTGTCCAACGCTGATCGGCATTTGATTCGAGCCGTCATTTAGTCATTGGACTTTTACTATCAAGATATTACGTATCCATGTGTACTTATATCGTACCAAGGTGTAATTAAGGTGTGAACCTAATTACCCACTTATTCCTCTATTCCAATTATGCTCTATATAAGTACTCGTCAGGCTGATGTTTTCGAGATATCAGCATGCAAAAAGCTTGAGAGTAAGTAAAAGGAACACAACAGGTACGGGCACTTAGATTTAGCCGAGCAGAAACTTGGCTACTATAGTTAGAAATGAGAAGAGTAATACCGCTCATCTCGTCTTAGGTCAACGATTTGGCATCAGAAGTACGAAATTGTAATTATTTCTAGTTCTACCGTGCAACATTTCATTCTTAGTCCCCCGACGGTATTTTCTGTGGAAAGAACTGACGAAAGAAGCCTGCGTGACTGACGTCCACCTGTCCTTTCCCAGTCATGCCGACATCCGAGGTCTCCATCGTCCTCACCAACTCGTCACCGACCGAGATGGAGGAGACGGACGGCCTGATGTCGTCCCTCGTCACTGTCACGCCCGGCGTCACCCTGTGACGTCACAACTGACGTCAGTGCGCGGGACCGCTGAGAGGACAGCTTGGGACGTCTGGTGATGTGATTTACGGCTGACGTCAGTGGCGGATGACGTGTGTGATGTCGCTCTGATGTGGCAAAGAACTGCTAGTGATAATTGAGTACCTATACGCTCCACGTGCTAAACTCTCACAAGAAAGACAGTGAAGATAAACGATATCATAACAGTGTAGGGTGTCTGGTAATGAGCAGTCGCTGACTTCCGTGACAAGGCATGGCGGACGCAATTAAGATAACGTCGATCTTATTTAGGGGAAGCGGGGGTAGCACCGCCATGTGGGAAACACCGCCATCCTCTCTATCGGCAAAACTCTGAATTGTAAATGTAAACACCCGCCATTTCGGTGTCCGAACGGAAACGGGACGCCGCGTGAGGTAGGTTTCGCTAAGATTTATTTGATTTTGAGATCGCAATTGCCCATTTTGTGAATTTCAAACCATCGTTGTAATCATTTGGCATGTTTGAGCAGCAAGTAAGTGGTCATTTCAAGTCAAAATGCCTTGATTTTTACGTTAAATTTGAGGGCATTAAGTGCTCTTTGTTGAAAAAGGAATTACAGAAGAATCGCGTCCCGGCTTGTTTTGCTGTCGGGGCGTTGTCGGTCCATAACTGTATGTGGGGTAACACCGCCATGCTCGGCGGTGCTACCCCAAGGGGTGGCAAAATGGATAAAGCCGCAATGATGATTCACTCAGCTCGGAGAAGAGCTTTAGTTAGGCCGCAAACGTCGTCTGTTTTTTAACCTCACGTTTGACTTCACTGGATGTTTCGAAATAAACGTGAATTTGTCATGCTTTGCATGCATATTGTCCGCAACAAACAGTCTGATCTGTGACAAACTAACAACCAACTCTTGTGCATAGGCGCGGGAGCCGGGGGGGCAGTGGGGGCAGCTTGCCCCCCCAACTCTGGGGCCGTGGGGGCGGTGCCCCCACAGCTTTGAGACGGAATACCATACTTTTTTTGCAAATGTTTTCTTTTTTTGTTGAAAAAGCCGAGGGGTGAAAAATAAGTGGCCTAAAACCGGTGAGAAAACTAGATTTGGGGGTACCCTAGGTTAATCTCTATTATGGTGTGCCCCCCCAGTCGGAAAGTAGTTCCCGCGCCCCTGCTCTTGTGTGTCTTATATGAGTTTGAGTTACTATTTCAGACAGCAGTAACGCTTCCAAGGGTGGCTGTCACCGTAAGGCCGATCTGTGGATAACATCGCCATCAGTGGCGGTGCTACCCGCACATTTTTTGGAGGACGAAAAATGCAGGACTTGTTTTCGACGTCTGTAAAGTAGCGAAATTTTATAATGGAGCGCTGGAAACTATGCCAACATGTAGGAAAACATTCCTACTTTCACATGAATGCAAAAGAGCTTCGTTTTTACTACGCATATCAGCTCGGTGAGCAGAAATGCTTAAGGTGGCGGCGCTCCCCCCGCTTCCCCTAGATCAGAGGAGCAGCAATGTTTTGTGTAACATATCTTGTACCAATTTTTGTTTACCGTCGGTGCTTCTGTTTCCTAAACCAACCACTCAATGCGGTATCGCGTTGAATTAAAAATCATGACGCCAACCCATCCTAAACCAACGACACTCGTCGCGAACGAGTGCGACCCGCAGTTCAGTTCTGATGGTCTCACTCGAAGCGAGCACGCCCCGCCACTCCCCGCGCCGTCTAGCCTCTCGGCACTCCCACCCCTCTCCCTGGGCGGGCGATCAAGGCGGCTCGTTCGCCCATGTCCGACCCATTAGACCCCTGGGGAGCATGTGCCCGGCCCCAGCCTCTCTTCCCGCTGCTGAGGGCGGCAGTGGCAGTGGCGGTGGCGGTGGCAGTGGCGGTGGCGGAGGCGACATTGGCTGGGTGAACGATCGATGTTTATGTTTATTTTTTGTTTGTGGTGATTCGGTCGTCGTGGTTTCGCCTGTGTGGAGATTATATGAGCGGTGATGGGAATGACGGGAATGGTGCAGAAGTCATGGAATGGTGGCGATGGTGATGGTGGTGGCGCTGTAGAAGCGATGGGGCTCCTCGAGTGGCGGTGGTGGCAGAGGCGATAACGAGGGTGACGGCGGTAAGCCGCGGCCACCCGTCCTCTGAACGAGCGTGTGCTCTAGGAAACGCCGGCAAGAGGTCGGTAGCGGCGTGATGGCTCGTAACGAGCGCGTGCCGCCTCCAGACCGATTGTGACAAATGTCCCTTTCTCTTTCAAAGCAGTCAGTTTGGCAAGCACCGGTGCAGCCTATAGCAGCCCGCCAACGCACTGTATTGTGTGGGGCTGAGCAGTCTCTTGAAGTTGGCCTGCGGGCTTCCTAAACACAGCCAAAAAGGCTCGTTACGGTCCCGTTTACAGTTGATGACTGCGGGTGAAAGCGACACGGGATAGTCAGACGCGATATAAAAACCTTCAGACGACAGATGTAATGTGACGTGCTACATTTAACGAGCCAACAGGGACGGAAATGTAACAACAGGACGGAGTTAGTTAACATCTCCACGAAGGATGGATGCTGGACCCGAACCAGGGTGCCCGTAACGGCGTACCAGTGGCCGAGCTGGATCGGCATCGCCCTCGGTTCGGTCACATCTTCCAATGCAAGTTGCCAAGGGGACAGAACGTTGTGCCAACACGAAACAAAGGTATCGGTGGCCAATTACTAACATTCAAACGCGTGTGACGAGGTAATGGGACTATTCACGAGCCTCATATGTGTCCACCGTAATAGATGTCCGAGAGTGTTGATGCGCTCGGGATAAGTGTCACTGATCACTGATCATTATCCCGGATAGTTGCCTATCCAGTATTGGTGCGTGTGTGTGGCTGTATTCAGAGAAGGAAGGTTGGAGAGTGCATAAGGTCGTGTTCAGAAGTGTGCGAACCATCAGTTAACGCATACATATGCGTACTGTGCGTACTTCTGTAGACTGTAGACATATTGTAACTGTATAATATTGGAGATATTGTATACATGACAGGTGCTGTCGAATTTGAATATAAATATATTTGCCCATCATTTCATCTCGCGTTGACGAATGTATGCATACAAATTCAACACGAACAATTGACACATTCCGAGTTTAACGGCGAAAAGCGTTCTATGCATCGTTTTATATTAAAAAAACGAGCAATAAAGTAAATCGGTTACCCTTCAAAGCATTGTTCGGGAGAGTAAAGTGTTAGCTGTTACAACGAAACACATCAATGAAGAAAATCAACAAAAACGTATGAGTATGCATAATGTGTTTCACTTTTCAAATACATCGCTCTAGAGCGATATCAATGCACAAATCAGTATCTACCGTGTTATTTGAGCACCCCCAAAACTAACGATCCTTCCTATGAAAACTAACTACCATTTCATCACTAAGGCACCTGCATCATTCCCTACCCCCTAGCTCCCGGCAGCGCATCTCGCTATGAGTAAAGTTAATTTGTTCGTCACGTCGTGTGCACTCCATGCCATTACCCAGCACATCGGTCGACAGAGAGGCACCTTTGATCATGGAAGCACATCGCATAGCATCTACATAGCAATTACCCAGCAGCTTCTCACCAGTGTGCGCACACAACCGCACTTTCCACTTCGCTTGGCGAGCTTTTACTGAGCACTCGGTCACACCTGGTGCTCTTGGAATGTCCCGAGTGGTGCTCTTGGAATGTGGTCCTTAGCGTCTATCTACCCTGTATAGCGTAAACCCATCCAAATATCCAAACATCCCCGTAACGAGACCCTGATTCGGCCCCTACTCCATGCATTACTAACACCCTGAGGGGACCCGGCCGACCACATCGCGGGACGATCAGCTGGCGTGCGGAGTCGGGCCGTCGACTACACCTCGAGGACGATATTTCCCCGGGCGCCGGCCGAGTTGATGATGTCCTCGTGCGCTCGGCCCGCCTGTAACCGGAGCACGACGTCAATGGAGGGGCGCGGACGCGCCCACAGGAGAGGGGGAGAGGGACGGAGGGAGAGGGAGAGGGAGGGAGAGAGAGGGAGGGAGAGAGAGAGAGAGAGAGAGAGAGAGAGCGTATGTGTGTGTGCATGATGACATTGAAAATAACTCAGAAATCTAATGTACATAAGCTACACTCGTAGGACGTTACGTCGCAGCTCACATTTCTTTCGCAAACCTCAGAGAATTAGTATTGCCGTCATGTGCACTGCTCAACAAAGATACAATATTGCCGTAACAAATGGCTCTCAGGGGACACATTTGCTGCAGAATATATCCCACGTGAACGGTTCTATACAACTAGACCTTTTTTCTGCGCTCAGGGGACTAATCACAGGAGATAAATATGCGCGGGCGAAAACAAAGAAAACCGTGTAAAAACGTAACAAAAAATGGAAAATTGAAGGAGGTTATTGCACATGTTCATCCTTCAGCAATCAGCATCACAGTCGTAGAGTTCAATGTTAACAAAAATCGATCAAATGCATTCGTACTCGAAGGAAGATTGAATGAGCAAAGTACCAACAGACCTATAGTTCATAACATGTTATAAACAGACATTCAAACTTGAAAGATTATTGGTTCGGATCATTCCACATATCTCAATTTATATTTTCTAGTCAGAAAAAAAGAAATATTATAAGCATGAGGAATGAAATCACCCGAATCTGCTGGTTTGCTTGCGTACATTTGTCTGTCACTCCACTCTGCAACCAACAACAGCATTCCGCCCGAGCTCCACGTCGTCCCCCTCCCCCCCCCCCCCGACGTCTCGGAATCAGTGTCGGTGTCGGAGGCCGCACGGGCCACAGCCGGCGCGGCTCGGATGATAGTCCCTCTGACAGGGACAAACACACCTGCCGGCTGCCACGGAGCTCGACCACACGGCCCGTCCTCAGAGACCACCCGTCCCCACCGCCCGTCCTGAGGGATGGCGCTAACGACGGAGTCGGCCGGGGCTCGTGGCTGGCGCACGGATGCCGTTGTGACACCCGTGGGACCGAGCGGGTGGGAGACGGGGTGGGCGGGACAAGATTCTTATAGATAGCGGGGGAGTGCACTACGTAGTAGGAGAAGCGCGATGGAGGTATAGGTGGGAACAGGGATAACGGCGCAGATACGGAAAGCAGGTTGTTGAAAAATGAAATATGGAAAACATCGACACAGTATCATGGGGTGAGATAGCATATCAAAATTGGAAGCGTGACCCTGGACCCCGGTGGTTTTGGGCGGTATTTGGCCGGCCAGTTTAGGAACCGGCTGGCGCCTGTACTATCACCTCTATATCGATCGGCGGTTTATCTTATCGCTCAGTGCCGGTATAAAAAGGACTGGCGCAGTGTGGCTATCAACGCGGGGGAAAAAGTCGCTCAGGACCGGGAAAATTCAGCTTCCTCGTACCACCTATAAGTAAAGTAATCTTGGTACCACCCACACCCAGGTCAGGCCTAAATACGCACAAGGCGCAGGACAGGCTATTTTTATCTCCCTTACAGAGCGTAACATAAAATATAGCATCCCGGAACATAAGGTATCGTTACTAAGATGCAAAGGGATGTAAAGTCAAGCGAAACCACCTTTTCACATACCTCGTGTAAAAGCGTAAAAGGCTCTGAATATTGATTGTAATGTCCTAAAACATTTACAGACGATAGCAGTTGGAACATTGGTATCTACAGACCACAAACGCAAATTTACTTCAGCGTCGCAGTCTGGAAGGTAAAATACTGTAGACGGAATTCGTTGCAGGCGGGCATAGAAGCAGTTGACAAGCTAGAATAACAAGGGTTCTCAGCACTACTGAGCACCTTCATTAGGGCACCAAAGGACCACTCAATACCCGTCGAATATCGGTCCCAAAGCTGAACAATGCAGGACGTTTGAGGCTTATCTCGCAGCGCAGCACGCGGTCCGTTGCGATACGACCCGGGCCTGGCCGGGAATCCCGATTCGAAGCACCTAATTAAGCCAGAATGGAGGCAAAAGCCAGCAGAATGACGGCCAGGAATTATTTGGCAGCACAAAAGAGCAGTCTCAGCATTGGACGAATATGAATAAACGTGCGAGAAAGATTCTGATATAAGTTGCTCTGAACAGAACAAAGATTATCAGCTTTCGTCGACACTATAAATTCATCTATGAAATGCGCACATAGCTGCAATTAGAGAAAACGTACGAAAATCGTGATTAAATTAGATCCGGCTGAGGCTAGAGATCAAGTTCTCAGAAGCACTCGCAACAGTCAACACAATACCGGTCATTCTCAGAAGCGCCAGAGGGATTCAACTAGCATCTGCAGCAGCAGCAGCCCGCGAGCGAGAAATCCTCCGAGCCGAACTGCTTCCGCCTAGAGAAAGCTTTATGCTAAGTGATGCAAAGTAGGTGTGACAGAGGCTCTTAACTAAGTGATTCTTAGAGTTGTTTGCAGGGCCAAATGTGAATCGTTCCAGCCCGCTGTTTAAGTTGGAGCAGCGCCGGGGGTTTCGAGTGACCACCAGTCACGTCCGGTCGGTAAAGTCTTGTCCGCGAGTCTGTCCGGTTGTCAGTAACGACCTGTCCGCCTGTCAGTGATGTCACTCAGTCTGTCATATCGCATCACTCAGTAAATGCCGTCAGGAGTGCCGTCAAAAGCCATCGCTAGCGATCGGAACACAATTATGACTGCTGTCGGATAGCCGTGCAGAAGAAATCTGAGCCTCATTCCTCACAGCCTACCGCCGCAGCCAATCGACTAGCCTCATGTAAGCATACTAATGCTTCGCACTGGACATGCCAAAAAGGCACAAACACAAAAGAATGCCGCCCATAGGCATGGTACGGACAGCCCGCACCACCCAATGCCATAGCCCCATTACGCGGCTAACTCAATAGCCAATCAGTGACAGGATAACACTAATAATACAATAACACCGCTAACTGCTAACTGGATCAGCGTCCGTCATGGTCCAATGAGCCGCAGGGGGGGGGGGGGGCTGCATCCGGAACGTGACAATGACCGGGCACCATCCATGCCTCTTTGATTATTCCCTGAAATTAGTTTGCGTGCTGGCTAGTCGTAGGTCCTGCATCTTCCCCGTTCTAGAGCGTAGATTTGATTTGCAAGTTGACATCTCATCTGTTACGGGGAAGATTTTGTCCAACGGGTCCCGAATCTCACTTGCTCCGGGGGTAGATTTTGTGGAACATGTCTCCGGTCTCGCTTGTTCCACGGGCAGGATCTGTCCGACAAGATCTGACCTGTTCCGGGGGTGAGTTTTGTCCGACAGGGCTCAGTTCTCACCTGTTCGAGGGGGTAGGTTTTGTCCACGATCGGCGTCATCCAGCCGGCCTCCAGACCCTCGCCGATACGGAGATCCAACTCCTCCCACTCCTCCTGAGGAGATGCAGATTCAGCCGGTTAGAGAAAGATGCAGAAAGGCGGCTCAGAGCGGCACATTATGAACGAGAATTAACAGCAATGAATCACGGAATAAATGTGGTCCCAGACGACATGCATAGTTTAAAACTGACCAGATAAGTTTGCAACCATTCTTCATCATAGCAAAACCTCATTAGTCATCAAAACTCAGAAAAAAAAATGTTCTACGATAGCATCGCTACTTTATAAGGCTTGATTGAACGTCATTGGATGCAAACAGCCAACACAGATCGCTCTCACCTAATGCAAAAGCGAAAACGGCCCGCTGCCACCTGACACAAACACCGACGCTGACCGCTGTCACCTGATGCTACAACCAGAAAGCCCACCCGGTCGCTGGCGACATATGAGCGCGGCTGCTGCTCTTTTGATGTGCTAACAGCATTTCCTGCGGGACTAAAAACGCATCAGCCCCGCCGCCCGGCTAGAATTTAATTCCAAATGAATATAATTTTGCGAATAGTGGTATTAGCCGGGAAAAAAAGCCACCGTGACATTGTTTTAAATTTACAATGGGGCAGTGCAACAAGGCTCTGAACGATTCCATCAGCAGTGCTGATTACAGAAAGTCGAACCGGGATAAGATAAGGCGTATTTTCGCTGCAATGCCAATCGAGCCGCGAAATGAAATCCCAGCGGCTCAGTAATTCTCCATTTCGCCTTTGGTCCCGGTTTCCATGCCAAGTATAGCCTGCGCCCGGGTCTCCGGCCGAACCATTCCAATATAGCTTGGCGTCTGGCGCCGGTCCCGTTTCCGACGTGCGAGCGAACGGCTCGGTAATGCCGCCATAGACAGCAGTTACGGCATCCGGCGTTACTGCCCGGACCGGGCGAACCGCGCGGCCGCCGCGGTCAGCTCATGGGCAGCTAGCTCGGCGGCCAGTGACCGGGGGGGGGGGGGGTTGGTGAGAGCTCAGAAGTCAGAACACGATCGACCAATGTGTGTCGACGACTATGGGCCTGAATATCAACTGAACAATTTATCAATTCGTCAAAAAAAAAAAAAAAAACGCTCCAAAACTGAAAGAGAGTAGTTCCTCAAATGTCTTTGGCTCTAACTAGCACCCACGTTAACGTTCCGCTCCCGGAGACCGTCTCCAACATGCCCTGACCGGCCTCTCTGAACAGACTGGGTCGGCCGGCAGAGGTCACGGAATGGTCTCACGGAGTCTGCTCCGGCCACGAGCAGCGCCAACGAGGCCGCCAGGAGTGGTAGGGTGCCCACGGACCAGTGACCACGCGGTGACCGAACGGACGTGACCGGGCAGAGGTCAACAGGGTCACACAATGGAGCGTCTGTGGCAGTCGTCGTGTGGGCAGGGGACGGTCGGAGCCCGGAGGCGTGAGGGGTGATGACCTCTGACACCGGCGGGGAGGAACTGTCAGAGGGGTTGAGAGGTGACGACCTACCTACCTTAGTGACGGCGGCCAGTGCGCAGCCCATGATGCTGGTCTCGGGACCCATGGTGAGCCGCGGGTCGATCTGGATGCTCCCCCGTGAGCCGATAACCTGGAAAGCAACCGAGACACAGTCTGAGAAAGGACACAGTCGGCCATGGGATGTGACATTACCGTACGAGATGGAACGCTACGGGTCGCTTTACTTCGTAGCACCCGGACACTCCACTCCGGTCGCAGATCCGGGAGTGAGCGACGAAAATGCAGTGTGTGGGACGGCACAGAGCCGACATACAGCCATTACGTAAACGGTAAACCCTGCACACGAGGAAACACAACGATCATCACCGTAAAATTATCACACCTGACGAAAACCAGAGTTAGCAAACATTGCATGTTCAATAGATAGCATGTTACTAGGTCGTTCAAAAAGTTCTCGGCCTAGGCCAGATACACTTTCGGGACAAACCTTATTTCACCTCAGCCTTCAACATAGTTCCCTTTGCGTGCCTCAGCCAGAGCCCAGCGGTCCTGCAGCATACAGATGCTCTTGCTGAAGAACTCTTCCTCAACTCCTTCAAATCAATGTATCACTGACCTCTTTAGCTCTTCATCGTCGTGAAAACGCTGTCCACGAAGTCGTTTCTTCAGAGCTGGGAACAACCAGAAGTCGCTTGGGGCGAGACCTGGGCTGTGGAGTGGGTGATTCAGCTGGTGGAAGCCGCATTCTTGCACAGCATCCTGAGCAACGTGAGACCTGTGCACCGGAGCGTTATCGTGCAGCAGCAGAACGCCCCGACGCAGCTTCCCTCGACGCTTCTGCTTCACTGCAGCGCGCAGCTTCTTCAAGAGCTTGGCATAATAAGCACCTGTGATAGTCTGCTTGTGTGCGAGAAAGTCAACCAGCAGTACACCATGGACATCCCAGAACACAGTGAGCATGATCCTGCCAGCAGAAGATTTTGCTCGTTACCGACATGGCCTTGGAGACCCTGGATGACGCCATTCCTTTGCTTCAGCCTGGGTTTCGGGATCGTAGTGGTGCATCCAAGACTCATCACCAGTGGCTAGGCGATCAAAGAAGTGCTCTTCGGCCTCCAGCATCGGAAGAAGCTCATTTGAACATGCCCTATGGTCAGCGCGCCTGATGGTCGTCAGCATTCTGGGCACCCATCTACTGCAGACCTTACTCATACCAAGCCTTTTGTGGATAATGGTTAAAACCGATCCCGATGAAATGCGCAGATCTTCGGCTATCTGCCGAACAGTTATTCTGCGATCAGCCATGATCCGCATTTTCACAGCGTCAACGTTCTCTTCGGTGATGGCCGGAAATGGGAGGCCTTCTCGTGGATCATCGTCAAGAGGCTGCCGGCCCCGCTTGAAGTCCGCTGCCCACTTCTTGATAGTGCTGTGCGAAGGTGATGAGTCACCATACACCTTGGTTAGCTCATCAATAATCTCAGTCAGGGGCTTCCCCTTCTTTACCAAAAATTTAATGACCGCTCTGTATTCAATTTTCTCTATTACTTTTTGATCGCCCGACCTGCAACTAAACCAGAGGACCGGTGTCATGCGTTAGTCATTGCACAGGAACGAAAACAGCACATTTTACTCACAAAACATGCCTTTACCTCGGGGCAAAAGGAGAACTCCGTACGAAATGTGGAAGTAGGGTAGGCCGAGAACTTTTTGAACGACCTAGTATTTCTACAGATTATATGAGGAGGCAAATGTCCGAGAGCCATGCACCATACATTTGTCTGTGGTATGTGCGTCCTTTCCTTCATCTAGTTCCACCATCAGCTTTGATGCGGCAGTTTCGATATTCGATCCGCCTTATAAGAGGTGGCCACGGGGAGATTTTCATCCGATTACCTTATCCTCACTGAGTGAATCCTTAAGAGTGGCAGCGAGGCAGGAAATGGGCTCTCGAGAAGACGTTATCGAAAGGAACCATTTGGAAATACATATACAAAATCAGTCTAAGACTGATAAAAAAATGAGAAAACGAGCCAGTTATCGAGATGACGAGAAATTCAAGAGTTGAGAAATATCAGGCAACAATCCTACAAGTGTGAAAAATATAAACGCAGCGACTTTTCATTATTCGCAATATAAAATACGTGGCCGCATTATTTGTGTATTTCGCTTTGATTCATCTCGTTCCACTTCAGGTCACCTCAAAAGTAATAACGGAGATGAAAGGCTGGAGGCAGCGCCTCACCATAGTTGCATCTCCCATTTCATTTTTCTCAGCTGCCTCGGAATTCGGTGGCAGCCGGGAATGAAGCATCAGATTTTGCCGTGCAAATGGAAGAATAAAAGATGAAAAGAAACATCCCAGCGCTTCCAGCGCGGCGGCGCGTTTTATTCTATTACAGTTGACGGGTTGGCCGTCCGCTCTGACCTCCCAGTTTGACCACAGACCAATCAACCGCAACTGATTCTCTGAATGGAGCAATCATCCGGCACCGGGTCGACGGCCAACTCCTCGCAAAGTTCCGGCGAACTCGCCGCCGTGAGCCATGACGGACGACGATCATCCCGACCTGACTCGGGTAGCCGGGGTCAAATCCCGGCCTCTGCCGCCGCCGACAGAGAAGTGCGCGTTCTTGGGTCAGACCTCCGCCGCTGCCGGCTCGCTCTAAGGTCCGAGTCCGACCCCCGCCGCTGCTGCCAGGGGATCAGCGCAGCTTTGCGAAAAGGCGCCCAGCTGGGCGTTAGAAGCGGAGCGGCTCCTGGGAAGACAGGCGGTCTGTTGTGTTATTCCGAGGCGGGATAGGCGCGGGATCATGGGATATGAGACGGAGATCTGCCTTGTGTGACGGAGAGCGTTCAGTGTACGAGGAAGATCATGGTAATGTATGCAGGTCGAAGGTATCCGTTCAAACATTAATAAATGATGGAACAGAATTTAAATATATTTCTGAAGGATGGCACAACAATAGGTACTTGTGGAAGACTTACTTAAAAACGCATCAGCTCGGAGTTCCGTATAAAATGTCTAACAATCAGTGTTTCGCTGAACACACTGTTAATTACGGTTCATCAGTCTCATTCGTGTAAGCTCAAGTGGTCTTTTGCTTCCTGTTCTTTTGAACTCTAGCACGGCGTAGAAACTATCAGGTGACATCAATTACGGTTATAACGGCTGCCTGTGGATTTTCTTCCACCCGAGTTCAGTTGATATTAGCTGAATCGGACACCGGCCAGCGGTTACAGGTGGCGGACGAAACGAGCACAAATATAGCGTTCGCACAAGAAACGTGCGGTTGAGAAATATCAACCGCCCACGACATCCGAGCTATATCTGTGGCAAAACAGACATCTACAGGGTGGACAAAAAAGGATGGAAACATTTTAAACTTGATAAAACATGTATCATTGCATGCATGTGACTGGGAATGATACCAAACAAGAGTACATTTCGTGGAAATTCATAATGGCATCACTCTCATACGCTTTCTCTCGTTTTCAGTCTCTCACAGCAGATGTTCGAAGTGACCACCTTCGCGAGACAGGCACAGAGCGACCAGCCTGGCTGCTGACACGATAGCCCGCTTGTATGGCTCACACAGCCTTGCTGATCGCTCTTTTCAGTTCAGAGGCTTTCTGGACCTTTCTTGTAGACCTGGCCCTTGAGATGACCCCACAGTAAAACATCCATAGGGGTCAGGTCGGATGAGCAGGTAGGCCAGTTTCGACTGGCACCGCGGGATATCAGCCGGTCACCGAAGTGGCTTTCGATGCACTTGAGCGTTGTTTTTGCGATGTGAGGAGGCGCACCGTCTTGCTGGAACCACATAAGGTCTATGATGAGGCTGCCATGCTTCGTTTGGACTCGCTCTCAGAACTTCCTCAGCGCCGCCTGGTATGCGCTGTTGATTGACGGTCACGGTGTCGCCGCTCCCTTCCTCGATCCAAAGTGGACCCACGATTCATTTTCCGCTGAGGGCACACCATTTCGGTGACCTTGCTGCTGTGCAGTGACTTCTTTATCATCTCATCTCAAGGGCCAGGTCTACAAGGAAGGTCTCTGTGACCTGAAGAGAGCGATCACCAAGACTGTGTGAGCCATACCAGCGAACATGTGTCGTCGGGCTATCGCGTCAGCCACCAGACCGGCCGCTCTGTGCCTGTCTCGCGAAGGCGGTCTCTTCGAACATTTGCTGTGAGAGACTGAAAACGAGAGAAAGCAGATGAGAGTGATGCCGTTATGAATTTCCACGAAATGTACTCTCGTTTGGTACCATTTACAGTCACATGCATGCAATAATGCATGTTTTATGCGAGTTCAAAATGTTTCCATCCTTTTTGGTCCACCCTGATTGTCGGATGTTGTGAATATGATATGCCTCCGAGCTTCATATCAAGTATTAGGCCGATGGCTAAAAATAATTATGATAAGATTCAATCGTGGTATCGACCGTGTAAACTGAGACCTGCGTTGTCAGATGTCGCTGTTATAAACACAGTGCTCGGATTGCCGTGCGTCGATGGAGCAGCGATGGCTAAAACAGCAACAATCCGGCATGGCAATCCGGCAGGGTTGGCATTTCTGCCGGCAAAAACTAGTTTATGCCATTTGCCGGTTTAAACCGGTTTTAACCGGCAAAAAGTGGCAAAAACTAAGAAGTATCACAATGCTATGCCTAGACATGAATTTGAACATGAAATATTTTAAGGGGAATTCGGTGAAAGCTTTATGCTTTCAAACAGAAGTGACATTGACCATTGAAATGCTTCATACTTAACTCAGAAACATTTTCATGGACTATCCATAAGGACTGGAGCTAGTAAGATGCCTTTTGGGGGTGACAAATGAGCCAGTGCAAGGGTGACTGGGTGAATCCTGCACAATCAGAAGTGCGAACGGGCATCGCCACTGATATGCGCACGACGGCACCGCACGGCACCCTACTTACCGTGGCCGCCTTACCCCACTCTCCCCTTATATGGAAATACATTCCGTTGTGGATGTCTACCGACATGCATACAGTTTAAGCAGGGATAAGTACCTAATGAGGCAACTTCAGAATGTTTAGTGCATCTATATAACTACCAGAAATACATTTGTACATTTCAAATACATTCCTAGCTAGGAAAGTTGTAGGTTTGGCCATCTGAGTTTTAGCCAGTTTTTGCCAGTTCTTGCCACCAGAGTTTCTGCCAGCCGGTTTAAACCGGTTAAAACCACTGGCAAAAACCAGTTTTTGCCACCCCCTGCCAACCCTGCAATCCGGTTTACTAATTATTTGTGTACGATCACCGAACCATGCTTTCCCACGGACAACGTGCCGATACCGGCCAAATGCCGACAAAACCACCGAATCGATCAGACCTTTTTGCGACACCATTAGTGGTAGAATCCTTCATCCACCGATCACCGACTACAATCAAAACAGCGCGCGGCCGACTCACCCACACATACCTGGCTACTCGAGCACTTCGGGACGCGGATAAATTGATTTTCCGCGTCGGTACGAACGCAGAGAAAAGCAAATCCAACTCCCACAGACCAGCCGCACGGCGTGCTGATGTCCCATCGATCGGACCCAGGTCGGAGGTGCCACTTACGATGACCCGATCACCAGTGTCCCAAAATTACATTTTGGCTTGGGTGTCAGAGGGGGATATTCCTCACAGTAAAGCGGGCTGAGAGTGGAAAATTGCAAGCTTCATGAAAAAGGGTGAAAATCAGGGATCATCAATTTGCATGTGAGTGTTACAGGATGTGGGAACTGGGAGTTGTTTTTACTAGAGGATTGAAGAAAATATGGAGGAAGTTAAAAGCCAACCACCAAAGGTACACATTACATGCAGATGCTCGTTACGGGTAAAATTGGGAGTGAAAAATTGCTCTGGAAAATTGGAGGTGAGAGTGGAAAACCATTTTCATTTGGATGTCATTTCCCACCCAAACTGGCAAATTTTGGGACACTGCCGATCACAGATTGGAGGTGCCACTTACGACGGACCGGTTTGAGATAAGAGCTGCTACTTACGATGAACCGAGCCAGATTGAAGGTGTTATTCACAATGCCCTTCTTTCAAGTCTAAGCTGCTACTTACCACGAACGAGCCTCAAATGAGAGGTGCTTTCTTACCATGAGATGGTCTAAGACAAATTTTGCCGCTAGTCTACAGGTGCAATCAACGATAAAAGGTCCCAGATTTAAAGCGCCTTTTACAATAATTCCACCTAAAGGAGGTGTTACTTACAACGACCCTGCCCCTGAAGCGCAAGAGCGTCAGGTCGGTCGCCAGATTCACGTTGGCCAGCATCTCCAGAATTACGTCAACTCCTCCATTGGACGCTGCCAGAATTTCCTGGGTGTAACCGGGCCTAAAACATAAAACAGGAACGGTAGCATTAGAAGGTAATGGTATATTAGATCTAAAGTAAAAACATAGCTTGTGCGAGTGACCACCAAATCGCACACACATTTGTCCAAGCAGCACTCATTCCACGATTTAACTGCAGTTGAGGTTCCTAATCGAACTGAGCTCTGTACAGGCCTATTGTATCGGTTGATTCGTTTAAAGCAGCTACGTTTGCAACTAGATAGATGATTACGGCAAAAGAAAACATTCGGTTGCCAGATTAATTCCCTACTGCTTCAGAGCTTTAGCACGGACGTATCATTTCCACCTACGTCCTGTGGTTGAAGACGTGCTCGGCTCCCTGTTCCTGGACGAGCTTCATTCCCTCCTCGGTACCGGCTGTCCCCATCACCAGCATACCTGCAACAGAAGCCGGCGGGTTATCACAGCTGGCCGATATTTGAGACAGCAAAAGCAAGCACGGAAATCAATCGTGATGCTACTACTTCAACAAGAAAAAAACAGCATACCACATCAGGACCTCACCCAATCGCCATCCAAGTCTCTCGACCAAAACCGGTCGATCCGGCCCAGCCCATGCCCTCCCTACATGTCTCGGAGTCGATCCCATCCCGTTTCCAGTCCGTGTCAACACAAACATTTCCGCTGCCGGAGCGGCCCCCTCGGTCGTCGCGGTCTTCCCTCGGTGGGACCCGGGCGACATTTCCACAGTCAGAGCCGTCCGCCCGACGCCGCCGCCACCGCCGCGCCGCCTCTTATCGCGCGGATAGATGGCGACTTTTATGGCGGCGAAATGCCAATAGAGCCGGCCGGCGCGCGTGTTGACAATGCTCCCGGTTTGGAACGGTGGTGGGCCAGAGCGCAGGTCAACGCTAATGGTAAATCACGAGCGACATTTGCGCCATCGGGGAATGGCCGACGCTTAACCCGCGCCCCGTAGGGGGGGGGGGGCCGAAACGGCCCCCCCTGTCCTTTTCGGTCGATATCTCCTAAACGGCTGGAGATATCGCCACCAAACTTTCAGGACCCCTCCGGGCATCAATTTTACACATTGTGACCAAAAATTTTTCCAGAGGCTATGATAGGTTGGCCACAAATGACGTCAGAGTGACGTCATGTTCTGTCATTTTCGACCGAAAAAAGACCTTCGCGAGAAGACCTGTCAGGACTACAGCTTTGAAGATACAGAAAAATGATCAGACATAAAAGGTGTAGAATTGACAGGGCTACAAAACTGCTATCTCGAATTTTTGAAATTTATGAGTTTTGACCCCCAAAAATCAAAAAAGCATTTTTTTGGATATATTCGCCAAAAAATCCAAAAAGTTTTTTAAATTTCGGAAAAACCGGAATATATGTGATAGTACCTACCGTCTTCTACCTACATACCAAATTTCAGATCGATACCTCGTTTTTTGGCCAAGTTATAGCGAAAAAACTGTTCAAAAATGATGACGTCAAATTTTCAAACTCAATTTTTGGCAATTCTAGAACTCGTAGAGCAAAACGAAGACCACCATTAGACTCCCCGTGACGAGCTGCATCGAATCGATACCCATTTTATGCAAAAATATCAACTTTGAAATTTGACCTAATTTGACCTGACCTTGACCTGACCTTTACAAAAACGTGACCTAGGCTGGCCCCAAAGGCTGCCTAACCCACATAATCGCATTTGTCATGTAAAATGGACCATAAAACATGTATCACACGACACATTCATATTGTGACCCCCGGTGACCTGACCTCGCTGTGACCTGACCTGGTATCAGTGACCTCAGATAGCAAGGTATGTGTTTGACGAACAATGTACCATCGATGGTTTTCAATAAATTGCCAATCTACTCGCTTTCACAGCACATTTCTTGAATTGCCTGTGAACGGTGAAAATCTGAGCTTTGACCTGACCTGTGACGTCATCGGTTTGACCTAGGTCAATGAAATTTGGTCACAAGGTAGTTCCCGGGTGGGGCTATCGAACGCCGTTTGAATTTTGAAAATCGGCCGGTAACTTTCCGAGATCTTAGGGGGGGGGGGGCCGAAACGGCTCCCCCCCCCCCTACGGGTGGTAGGGTCCGCCGGTAGCCCTACGGGGCGCGGGTTAAGTAAATGGGTGCTGAATAATTGATGGTAGCCGTGTTGAAACCTTTGTAAGTTACAAAGGTTTCAACGCGACTACCGACCACACAACAATACGACACTGGTTACAAATTATAGCTAGTATACTCTCCCAAAAGTCACACCACTCTCGCTCTCTTCCCTCTTCCCCTTCTGGTCAGTTACCCCGACAGTACGAGCTCAAGTGTCTCGTGTGGGTGAGTTCAGACTCGCACTGGCGTTAGTGCCATGTCTACATGATGTGAGGCTCGTAAGTGAGTAACTGTGAGTTATGTAGAGTAGATCAGGCACCCCGTCCCCGCAATGAGACCCATACCATGGTGTCTGGCGATCTGCACCGCGGCCAGGCCGACTGCTCCGCTGGCTCCATGGACAAGCACCCGGCTGCCGCGGCCGGCGGCGGCCCTGTCGACAGAATAGATGTCAGAGCGAGTCATATGGGGTGACAGGGGAAACATGGGGCTAGTCACGGGAAACACTGGCAGGGAGAGGGGTGCTGGGGAGTTCGTTACCAGCCTCGACCGTTTGTGAGAGGGAGATGTATTACTTCTGGTAGAATAAAGAGCAGACGCATAACGACACTGACTCCAGAGGTGATCTGATCAATGAGGGTGGGTGAGAAGTTCAGAGTCACAGTCACATCCACTCGATTCCAGGAATCGCCGCAACGGCATTTGTCCGCGCTTTACACTCATCACTATCCCCCATCCTCGCCTCTAGCCTGCTCATCACTCGGCTAGAGTGGATGCCATTTAACTGAAGTCGCAGAGTCTCTGAAATTCGCCTGTGCACTGTTTACAAGCCCCAAAAGTAATTTTAAGTTCCGAGCATAAAAATCGCCGCAGTACTCCAGTTTGTGACGCTAGTCACAAAGGTTTAATAAAACCGTCTACCAGCCTCATATAAATACAGAAGTTCCTTAAAATCCTGTTGTTGACAAGGCACTGCTCGCAAACCGATGCTAAATACCATCCGCAGAGCCATCTAGCGAGACAGGTGACAAACAGTGCAGCTCACCGTACACTCTTATTCGCCCGCAAGGTAACAAATGAGTGATGAGCATTAGGGGTGGGCTAAGTAAGGAGCTTGTTACTACGCCTACAAGCCAGTAAATTAGATGCCACATCAAACCAGCCCCTGTAAACGTTGCCCCTTGTCCGTTACCCTTAGCTATCGTCGTGCCAGGTCCGTTCCCCTCGTTTCACATCGGCTAACCAGGTATCACGCCGCGCCCTGCCACTCCCCCGCAGTGTCACGCCGGTTACCTCTGCATGAGCGCGTGCCAGGCGGTGAAGTAGGGGATGCCGACGCCGGCACCCTGCTGGAACGTGAGCCGGTCGGGCAGCGGTCGCACGCACGAGGCCGGGGCCACCGTGCAGCTGGCGTAGGTGCCCGAGGGGCCGCCGTCCGGGCCGCGGCACAGGAACACGCGCTGGCCCACCTGTTCATGCATGAGGGAAGGGAGTTTGTCTTCGATCAATAAAAATAAAGTCGTTCTGCGTGCCAGCAAGTAGCAGCTGTCATTCTGTTTCACCAGTCTGGCTAACACACTGCAAGGTCAGAAGATGTTTAAATAGGTACAGTTTCAATCGATTGGTAACTTCTGCGCACCATGGAACACGAACAATCATGACAGTCACTGACCTGAAGCCCGTTGACGTCCTCTCCGACCTGGAGCACCTTTCCGGCTCCGTCCGAGCCGGGGATGTAGGGCAGCGGGTGCTCGCGCGCCCCGGCACGGATGTACGTCTCCACGGGGTTCACACCGACGCTGGCGATACCAACCAGCACCTGCCGAGCACGGGAACATGCGACTGAAACGCTGGGGCGCTTCGTTTGTAGAGCGGGGCTAAAGCGGTATACATGTGCCGAGTGTGGCGGAAGATGGTTGGGGCAGAAAAAGACGACATGGCCCATGCTTTTGTAAAAGTGTTCAAAGCGGCTAATTGCAGTACGGCAGTGCGGCTAACTGCTCACCTGGTTAGGCGCTGTGATTTCAGGCGCAACTACTTCGGCCGAGTATTTGAGCACTTCCGGTCCACCGAATTCGAACACCTGGATAGCCCTCATGATGCGCCTCACTGCTGCCTACAAGAGAGGCAAGTGGTTATTTATCAGATTACTTTGCTACTCATTAGGCAGGCACCCAAATACAGAAGCTAAAACGATTTGTGAATATGACATGCATTAGAATGCAATTCAGCGTGACAATCTTCCATTAGTATGCGTTGAACATCAGCGAAGAGTCATTGCCAGTGACTGGAGTAATAGGTATGCGTTGAACTAAGATCACACACGGCATACCAAGCGGGATCAAAGCACTCCAAACGAAGATAAAGTAGGCAATTCAGGTCCCTTTAGTACCAGACACCCAGAGCGCTGACCGGAGGTAGCAGCACCACTACACTTATTCAGCTACCCACCGGACGTCCGTACGCGCGTCGCCAAACGTAGTACCCTGCCACCATACGTGTCTCAGTCACCTCTCAGCCGGCGACACCTCCCGGTCGGCCACTGCCGCCCCTGTGCGCGTGCGGTGAAGGTCGCCACCGATCAGACTACCAGGCAGCGGGCACACGGAGGGGGCTCTCAGTTTCCCCGCCCACTGTCCTTTGGAACCAGAGCCATCCGCTGGGGACGGCCGAGCAGAGAGGCTGTTCTGAAGTCGACCCAGCCCACACGATGTCACAGCTCCACAACAGACAGAAGACTGTAATGTTTTGGACCATGAGACGGCCAAAATGTGGCGATTTACAATAATGTATGTCGCATTGTCGCCCAATATCAGGCACAGGACGGCTGAAATTAGCCTTGCCATGTGACAGAAAATCTCACAGCCGTTTCAAGCCGGCCGTCCCTGAAACCATTCCGCCGCGGAACTATAAAGAGCAGAGCAGGCGTGGTTTGAGAATGGTCAGCAAAATATTACTTGAAAAGCAGTAGGTAAAAATACAATGATCACTAGAAGAAGTAATTATGCGCAATGATCATTAGAAGCAGTAATTAATCATTTGTTAAACATCCTTCTCGCATAATAGTTCTGGAACTGTTCATTTTACCCAACATTTAACTTTTTCTTTTATCATTTATTTCATGCCATTATTTCACCATCAAAGACACGGTGCAAGACAGCGAACATCTCACCTTTAATGGGGTTGGGAACTCGATTTTTTAAGAATGCATGAAAATGATCAAACTATTTTCACAGAATTTATGGTGCATACCATTGCCTCATAAAATCAATAAGCTGAGAGAAATGGGGGAAGAAAGATAGGAAACTTGTTTTGAAAAGTTCTTGAAAAAAGATGCTCTTGATGCTGTTACGTCACATGTCACCTTCTGCGGTCGACAAATAATGGCGCATCTGGCGCACCACAGATTACATGTTATATCAATGGGTGAAAGATGTTGTTTGCTTCACTCTGCCATTCGCGCTGTTTTTAACTTTAAATTATGCTAAAACATTTACGGATGAAATGTTCAGTGTCAAAAATTGATGTGTCTGCCGTGTACTATATTCCCACTTAACATGAGCGCGTGATAAACATTTTATGTACCTCGAATTTTCAAATGATAAAGATGATGAACCGGAGGATGCTGAAAAGCAAAAGCTCATTCCAATATTTGGACTACTTTGCGATTAAAATGTTTACATTCCTGTCATCTTATTGATCATTTATTTGTTCTTTTTTATGAAAATAACTTAAGGCGTTGAGAACCGAGGTAATTTCTATCTACCGTGCCTTAACTTACCAGCAACAGCAATCTATCTACGCCCTACGGTGGCAAGGGAGACTGTAAAAGAAGCGTAAGATGGATTCTAAACAATTCTTTTGTGATATACTGAAGGGCAAAGTGCAGAGAAGAGCGTACAAGTCCTGTTTTGTGCCAGGCTGTTGCAGTAGGACTTATGAAACTCCGAAAACGATTTTCGTTCATGTCCCGAACAACATTACCCTGAGGAGATGATCGTCTGCAATAGCAGGAAGAGCTGATTGCAAGTACTTTGAAATCCACTATCAAGTCGGTGCTATTGTTGTAATGATCACTGTGAGGTGAGATATTTTGTGCAAGGGCTGAGTGTAATGCCCAGGAAATGACCTCCATTCGCCCCCTGACCGGTCAGGGTTATAAAATTTGAGTGGATGGCGGTCCATTTGGGGTTCAGATGTCAATTGTATTTTGTTACTGTCAAACAATACATGTTATGCTGGCAGCGAATGTGTGTAACGTCGTTTTTCGAAACAGAAGTTAGAACTGTAACGGCAGAGTGCTTGCTGGTCTCATCGTAAGTATTGTAAGTGTTGTAAGCAAAAGCATTGTCAATATTGTAAGTATTGTGAGCATTGATGTATGGTAGATATCACCTCACATGATCTCGGCTCAGATAACCCTCTCCGGTGTCCCTGTCAGTAAATGGCACCTGGATCATTACAGATAAGATAATTTGTCATAATTCTTAAAGAATTGGGTGGTTTTGACTCGTTTACTCGAGGTGCAGGTCGCATTTCAATACTTTTCCATAGGCTTGCAATGTAAAGGTCACGACTCTGACCTAACCTCAGGTCACAGATAAAAAATTCTGAGATATACAAACGACACATACTGCAGGTACTGTTTTGAAGACTTGATGAGAGGAAATAACTTCGTGAAAAACTCAAGCTCTGACGTGTTTGCAAACTTTTCTGAGGTGGGGTCAACAAACCCGCTCTGGTTACCTGAGCTGACCTGACCCGGCATTTTTTTTTTTTTGCTGAGATGTGCGCAATGAGCATTTAGGAAAAGTCACCAAATATGAGCTTAATGTCTCGCGGCGTTTGGCAATTGTACAAGAAAATCCTGAAAGGTCTCCCCGTCCGAAATAGGGTTAATGTGTATATGAAGAGTTGCAGATGCCAAACATACCCAGATCTAAGACTGCAGTTCCCAGCGCCGCTGCAACGTTTTTAAAACAAACATACATAGGACATACAAACATGTTTATTTGCATCTGTTTTGGATAATAGCAACTCATGGCACCATCACCCGCGATAACTGTTAGGATTTGAGATATATTTTTATTTAGGCCATTAGTTTGGCTGTAATGTTTATTAATATTAGTTGGGCGGAGTTTGGTAGTTTTTTATTTAACTTGTGGTATGTTGTGCTGATTGCGGGTTGTTCAAACCTTTCAAATGTAAGGACCTTATTGAACTCAACCCTACCCCTACACTACCCTTCATACGACTGGACGCTTTCCAAGCCCACAAGCATCACGACGCCGAGATGGAATGTAGCCGAGAAATCACCCTCGCCATCTGCTCTAGAGCTAATCGTGTGGGGCGGCGTGTGGGGCGCTGCTTAGCCTATGGGGGTGCACTTCTAGTGGATGGGGGACGGGGGTGCACCTGCACCCCTTTCATATGGAAAGTTACTTCCCTGATTACAGCTCCCCGTATTGCACCTAATCAGGGAACGGCCAGCAAACGAAGGAACTATTTCTGGATGACAGGCGAATAACCGCTCACGCAAGGAGCGGAGCTCCGCCCCGTCCAAAGTGGCCAACAAAGCAGAGACAGAGGCAGCATCACATCTTCCATCAAAGAACTGGTTTCTGGCTTGGAAGATGAGCTCCATCTTTGCATCCGAGTCGGTGCTGTCAGGAATCAGCTGGTCTAATGGAGTGAGAGTAGTGAGACGACTAGCTATTGTATCAGAGCTGCCTGGTCTTCGTAGCATTTGCACCGATTCTTCTCGATCGGACTCTGAATTCTGTCCCTCCTGCGTATTACTTGAGGCATTGCTATGTAGCTAAGTCTTTGGCAGAGTTTCATTATCCATGCTTTGCAAACAGTGCCATAACAACACAGTTAATTAATCACCAAGCTTCTTTGCAAGTTCCAATACAGTTGAATCGCACGCGATTTGAGTGCAAAAATCAAGAAAAGTGCCAACTTGTTCCCGTAAAATATTTTGAATATTGACCTAAAAAAATGAGTAATTTCCAGATAAAATAACAGCGAAATCAGTTTTCGCTTGCCAACAAAACTCACAGATATTGAAGCTCCATTATTAAAGGAACATTTTAGTATATGCCATTCTTGATAAAACTTCTTAGCCACGCAATACCAGCGCAAAATAAAGAGACACTGAAAACACGACCAATCACTCCGATTTACCATAGGAAAATACATAGAAAATGTATGTCTCAGCTGCGCCAAATATACAGACAGTAATATACCTACATGTGACGTCATGATTTGCCCGACCAATCAGAAGCAAGTTGTTTTCAGCCACAAATAATTAATTTCTGAACTAACTAGGCATTTTTATAACAAAGTGATTTTAAATTAAATCATTAAAAATTCTGAGCTTTTTTATTTTACCAAAACATACAGAGCATGCAGATAGGTCCCAACCCTATTGTAATAAGTCAAGTAAAAAACAAACTGGGTCACGTGTCAATACCAGGAAAAACTATCCACAGAACACAGGCTGTTGTGTCCAGGCCGGAAGCCAACTTGGACATGGCAAAACTGAAGATGGCAGCAGAAAAATTGAAGTCTGACGTTAGCAGGATGTGACGACTGACAGTGTTGTAAAATCAACTGGTTTTTAATACACGCCACGCCAACTGAAAAGACAGCGACATCTGGCATCAAGCGCTTGGGTTCCTTTGAGAGCAGCTGGATGACGAGGAGTGGTAACAAGCTTTACACACTAATCGGACTTGCACTCAGATCGCAAATTCAGGCACAGATACCGAGACGGACGATTCAAAATACGACAAAACAAGCGTCTCATAATTATTACTCTCTCATACATCGCACAAAATCCGACATCCCCCTCCCTTTTCTCACACACATCCCCAGCATTCAGAGATCGCCCTTGTCTTTCCTCCGCTTGCCCTTGGCGTCCGCCTGCCGCCGCCGCTTGTTCATCTCATTCCGCGGGTCGTAAATGTCGTACCAGTCGTCCGCCTTGGTGCTGGCGTCCTTGGCCAGGGTCGGGTCGTTGGCGGTGAAGTGCAGCTCGTGCGCCAGCCACGAGTCGTCGTTCACCTCCTCGGCGTCGTCGCCACCGGCCGTAGTCTCCTGTGGCGCGTCCACATGCTCCTCCTTGGCGCGATGCAGCTTGTTCTTGAACTTCTCCAGGAGCGCCATCGTCTGCGCCTCGCGGGAGGACGCGCCGCGCTTCGGCAGCTGCTTCTTCTTTTCTTCGAACTCAGCCTTTTGCTGTTTGTACTCCTTGATGGCGTCGTCCTCAGGCTCCTCTTTCTTTGCGGCAACAGCATCCGCTTTCACCGCCGCTTGCTTCCTCTTCAGCATCTGGTTTTTCAATTCTTCGAATTCGGCCTTCGCTTCAGCAACTTGGGCTTTCTTCTTCTCATCATCGCCCTGGAAGAGTCGATAATTTTCTGGTTTCTCCTCCTCTGCCTCACTCTTTTTCAACTTTTTCCGTAAGTTCTCCATGTTGACGCTTTCCTCCGGCTCTGAGGTGCGTTTCGAGTTCCGAGCCGTTTCTGGCACGGCCGGGGCAGAGCTCAGCTTGGGATCGTCCGTGAGGTCATGTGACGACTTGGACTTGCCCGAGAACTTTTTGGTGGCCTCGATCGTTTCATCCTCATCTTCTTCTGCCTCGTCTCCAAATGAGAGCAGCTTGAAGTTCTTCGTAGCCTTCGACTTGCTCTTTGGTTTCGCTTCTTTCTTCTCGGCCTCGGTTGGTTCGGCCTTCCGGCGAGGAATTACGTCAAACGGATCCAACAGTACCTCCGTGCGGATGATCTTGTGTGGATACTTCGGCCGATCATCCTCAATATCTCCCTCCTCGAACTTCAGCATGTTATACAGTGTATTTCCCGCCACCTTGCCGAAAATTGTGTGTTTGTTCTGCAGCTCTGGCGTCGCCGCCAGCGTGAAGAAGAACTGCGAGCCGTTGTCGTCCTTGCCGGCGTTGGCCATCGCCAGCAGGCCGCGCCGCGAGAAGCGCAGTCGCGAGTGGAACTCGTCTTTGAACGGGTGTCCGTATATGGACTCGCCGCCCTCGCCGGTGCCGGTCGGGTCGCCGCCCTGCACGATGAACCCGCGCACCACGCGGTGGAACGGCGTCCCATCGTAGTATCCCTCCATGCACAGCTGGAT